GATATTGAAGCGGGATGATATTTATAATGATAAATAAGCGGTAGTTTGCGCCTAGTTTAATGAAATATTATATGAGTATAACCAATATGGGCACTGGGCCGTTATATAAAACATTAAAAAAAAAAAAAAAAAAAAAGTAAGGTGAGTAGTAAGGTAAGCAAAGGTGATCGGAGACAAGCCGTCATTACATTCATAATGATAAACCATCATTTAGTGTAAATTACAAACTTATAGAAAAAAAAAAAAAAAAAACACAAATTCTGGTACTGCAGCCCCCACTGACTTAGAAGTAGTAAATTAACCACAAGCAGCAGTTGAAGCTCCTCAGGCGGACACAACTCTAGAAGTAGAGCAACCTGAGCTTAAAGTGCGCAGGTCAACTAAATTGGCGAACAGACTACTTGTGCGTTATAATGTAAATGGTTGTTTTACGGCACGCAAACGGCGAAAATGGTTGTTGTGAACATACTAATACTTTTACGTACGAATTTCAAACTTTTGGGCTACTTTCCGAGAATTTTACGTGATCACATCTTGGGCGAATTTTCGACAATCGTAATGTTCATGTTTCTTTCCAAAACAAAGGTTTTTGAACAACAATTTGAAAAGTTTGATTGAACGAAAAATTGTGGAAATGGAATTGATATTAACAACTATACTACCAATTATATAAAGTTATGTGTTTAATTATAAGACTAATATGTGTTCAAAAACCTAAATTGTGCTTGAAATTTCTGTCGATTTTATTCGTTAATATGGTTTATCGTCAAATGGTTCCGCACTATTGGAGTGACTAACTCAATAGGCGACAACAAATACTATAGTTTCAAACAGAGCACTCCAGTAGCGCTGAACCATAACAAAGCAAATTAATACATTTCGCTAACCCAAAATTCCTATAAGCAATACGTTGACACTCTTGGCGACCCTCCTGAACCAGAAGTTCTGCCCCTAGATATAGGGCGAGACGGAACAGGATTTGTGAGCCTGCCATCACGAGGAGTGTTAATGGAAAGGACAGGCACTCTCATCACCCATGCTGGATATCAAGTGTCCAGCATAGTCATACAACTCCAGAAGGCCAATATTTCGGCGCTTATCGAAGGACTACATTGCGGACTACACACTAGACAAAGAACCGAAATGGCGGAGGCGAACTACCAACTAGAGATAAATGCTTTATCGGCGGCATATGAAGCTATCTATTTGTGGGAATACCAGCTCAAATCGGCAAGGCTCTGCGAAACCTTTAACATCACAGACGCTAGGTGCCATAAACTTCCACACAGGAGACGGCGATTCCTCGTGGGGGTTGCCGCAATAGCGACAGCGGCAACGGCACTGGACCTTAATGTTCAAAACGAAAGAACAATTAAAAAAATCCAACAGATGTTAACTGAACAAGAAAACTCAATCGGCAAGATAAAGGCTTCCTTAGCGGCGAGAATAAAACACGAGGATGACTTCAATCAGAAGTTGGCAGAAGCAACAACAAAGCTGTTTGGATACACCCGAGCATTGCAAAAACAATTCTTTGGTCTGAGCAGAGTGCTAAACTGCCAAGTGGGAGCGTATGCGTATGCATTAGCGAAAGAATCGATCGACCAACTGAAAGATCTGCTCCGGTTTGTGCTGAACAGTCAACTGTCGGGACGACTGACTCCTTCCCTTCTCAGTGTAGACGAAGTGAGACACCTCGCAACTGGTCAACTGGCCAAGACCTCAAAATTCTTCGCAGAATTTCCCCATCTTCTGTATCAAACGGCTACAGCGACATTGATCGAGGCAGATTTCGAAAATCTACAATTTAGATTTGTACTCCTGTTTCCTGACATGGACACAGCACAACTCTCGGCGTTCTTTGCTATACGACAAACTGGATTCGTCGCTCGAACTACCTATGACAACAGCACCCACTGCCTCGCTTTTAAGTCACCACCTTATGCAACATTCCAGGACGGCAAATGGTATGTTTTAAGAACCCCAAAGCAGTGTCCTGTCTTCGCGAGGGCAATGATCTGCCAAGAAACTCAATACGAACTTGTACAGTTTGACGACTGTCTCAACTCCCGGCGAACCAAAACCTCCAGCTGCCCCTTGGTGGCGTGTAACACTGATGCGTGCATCTCAACACCAGCTGGGCTACTCCTACGAACCAACTCGACGGCGATAAAGATATAAGTGTCCCACAAATCCTCGGAACAAGGCACTTCTCATCCACACATGCAAACTACATCATCAGTGGCGGAAAGAATAATGCCAAAGCATCAGGTGACATTCGTGAAATGGGATCAGAATACCACGGGTGTTAGCTTCGGTAACATAGTGATCCACAGCCCTGAAAACGCGGCACCAAACAGTATCATGTACCGCAAACCACCTCTACTGGCACCAATGATAGATCGAGAGGATTTGATCAAAATTCCGGGGTTGGGAGCAGAGAGCTTGGCTAAAGACGTGAAGAACTTCCAGGAGGACTTACAGAAGCTGAAAGAAGGACAAGGAGATTGCCACTATGTCGGGTGCACAACCAATAATTAAAGACACCATAAAAAATATCAAAATGATCCCCAAGTACTTTAAAATGGCACTCATCGTAGGGGTCACTCTGCTGGCATTTGTGGTATTGAAAATGATCAAAGACTTTGTCGCTCCTAACACTAATATGTGTCCCCCACCGTGTTGCAAGTGCAGGCGAAACTCAACCAGAGTGTACTTCCGAGACCCCGGCTTAGAACGATATGGCGAAGAACGATGCAGTACCTTACCGAGATCAGAGAGCCACATATCATTAGTGGTAAATGCAGGGGAAGCCCCTAAACCGACAGCACCCATCGGACAAGCAGAACAGCAAGATGGCACACTACCCGGACCTTACGCATCACAATACATGTACCCAGGCGGATATCATCCAGTCTACCCTGGCTTACAGGACGAAGAACGAACTTTCCAGTAATGGCGGCGCGTGAGTATAGTAGTGTGACTTTTATAAATAGGAGGTAGTTTTCTCTAAAATAGTGGTACTTCCAAACCTCTGAGTAGATGTCTGGATACGACCTGGTCATAGGCGTTCCATGAGTAAAACCAATTCCCTCTTTTTCCTTCTCTGTCTCTCTCCTTTACCGTCGAACCTTAGGTCACACTCACTCACAAACTCACTAAAATCTCGGTTCTGCCGAGTGGGCGAGTGCTGGTCCGCCCGAAGAAAGCAGGTTATGGTCTCCCAATCATGGGAACCCTCTACCTGCGATCACCCAGTCGCAACCCTCGGCTTGAATAAATGAGGAAGAAGAAGCTTTTCACAAACCGTGCCTTAGTACTTGCAGTTGTAACTTTTCTTTTCTAACAAATGTTGGCGATATTGTTAGTCATTCAAAGTCATACACTTAACACCGCACAGCTCCATTCATCAATAACCATTGGCCTAATGCCGAAAACTATTTACGAACTAAAGTAAAAGATAATTGGCGAAATGTTTGTTGTAAAAAAAAAACAAGTTTTATTTTAACTATTTACAACCGGGTTAACTTAAATTATTGCGGCGAAACCACGTTTTTAGAAGTGTATTAATGTATCGACCAAGGTTAACCGGGCCAACAACTCCTAACCATCGTGGATCTCTCTCCCAAGCAACCCTTGATGTCAACCTCCATTCTCCATGTCAACTCCCCGATTCCAAAAACGCAGATAGACTCATGGCGGGACGCCAGTTTGGAAGAAAGGGACGTGTAAGAACCTCGGCCCCCTATTCTTTTTGTCGCTCAGTTAATAACTGAGCACTGGGAGTTGACACTTACACTTCATACCTAGTTCATACCGTGATGGACCGGACGGGACACCTGCCTAGGAGCGAATGAAAACTCATTAAGAGTTGCAGTAATGAGGCTCCCATCAAACTGTGGAGCGCGCCAATCACCGCAGCAACCGTACGAATAGCAACCAATCACGGAGCCCCCGAACCGGTGTCCTGACGGCGAAATCTCATATTTCAGTGCACCGGGACAGGACGAGACAAACCGAGCTGATACGACCAATTAATTAGCGGACCTCTGAGTTTAAACGGTAAATTAACAGAACCTGGGAGACTATTCGAGATGACGACCTGGACTTCTCCCCACTTCTACTCAGTTCCATTATTCCAACTTCGAGTTGGTCACTCGGCCTCCGATCGTTCCGACACTGAACCTCTGGATCTCTTCACTTCTACTCTGTTCCTGCCCTTATCCCTAAGATGACGTCCTGATTCTGCCTCCGTGCGACTGAAGATGATCAGACTCATCTCCGGCCAGCGATCAGACTCATCTCCGGACTTGTTGAGGAAAGTCGACTCTTTAAGCTGCGGTGGCGATATGCAGATTAGAGAACCAGCTCTTCAACTGTCCACCCCTCCCACTCATCCTAAGGTCGGTTAGCTAGGTCGATACTATATTTTATTGTACTATACTATGATACTTGATACTACTTACCGTGATGACCAGATGTTCTGCTGGTCTTTTCATATACTGTCATTAATCGCTTACACTACAACTGCTAAAACTGCTATACTGCAAGTCTCTGAGACTATGATTGAAAGTTGAGTCGTTACAATTACTAAAAGTGTGCATTGCCACCAGTAAATTTGAGTCCTTGACACAGAAAGTCGTATTTAATCACAAGCTTAACTCGTACAGTTTCAGGAGGATACAAGTTCTTGGCGAATTAGAGTAACACCATACTGGTGGAGACTATCGATCCCGAAGACCCTCAAGCTAGTCATCATTAGAGCGCTCTAGCTACTAGTAGTTAGACCGCAAGTTATTAAGACTTGTAGTCAGTACTATATACCAGGCGTAGTTAGATCCTATACTGGTTCTTATAGGATGGAGCCCTATAAATTGCGTAGACCTAGTGACTAGTTAGTAGTTACTCCCACGGGAGGTTCCTACAATAGTCTGTTGACTAAAAGAGAGGGTGTGACTAAAGTAATATTGCATTTTATCGCATTCCCCAAATTTAAGTGGTACATTATTCAGAAGTATGGACTGAAGAGAATTAGGGTGGTGTAATACGCTACTTGGTGGTGAAGAAGATCACATTGCAGTGAACACTGCTGCGTGGTGACACTGTGACTAGTTGCTAGCTGATGATTCTGCAGATCACGGTATAGCTGGACTCTTTCTCTCTCGGTACCAACGTAAGTGCGCCTTTTTAATCTATGAGTAGCTATTTGAGTTGGTAAAATTACAAAACTCAAAATATTGGAATTGAAATTAGAAACCATAACGGCAACTCATGTGACCTAATAATTGGATTTCTATTTTGTATAGATTATAGACCAATTCGTTCATTACTACTATTATCGGCCATCGTGCTTATCTCTATTCGTTAGAACTATTTAACATTGTGTTCTTATTTTGATGTGCGTTTAACTTAAAACCTGTAGATATAACTTTTGCTTTTGGAATTTAATAAAGCGACCACTTTAATGAAGGTTGGTTTAATGTCGAAATTGGCAGCTAGTTGTTACACCTTGTCACTATATGTTGCTATTCTTGAACCTCATAGCATTGCAACAAGTGTATCTTCAAATAAACCTCGCTTGAAATTATTTTTATCGTTACGTTTAGTTGTGGGATGCTTTTGTAAATTTGTCAGTGGCAACGTTGATCAATACGCTGCTTGGTTGAGCAATACACTACTTTGTTGAGCAATACGCTACTTGGTTGAGCAATACGCTACTTGGTGGTGTAATACGCTACTTGGTGGTTTAATACGCTACTCGGTGATGTAATACGCTACTTGGTGGTATAATACGCTACTTGGTGGTGTAATACGCTACTCGGTGGTGTAATACGCTACTTGATGGTGTAATACGCTACTTGGTGGTGTAATACGCTACTTGGTGGTGTAATACGCTACTTGGTGGTGTAATACGCTACTCGGTGATGTAATACGCTACTTGGTGGTATAATACGCTACTCGGTGGTGTAATACGCTACTCGGTGGTGTAATACGCTACTTGATGGTGTAATACGCTACTTGGTTGCTGTAATACGCTACTCAGTTCATGGTTGTGTAATGTCTTAGTTGGTTCTAGATTATTCTATAAATAAAACGAATCAGTTTCCACAATCCACATTCCACAGTTCCCCGAAATGTTATGTGAAACTATTATCTGGATATGGTTCCAAACTCTCGTCCTAAGATGGCGGTTCTATTGTCTCATACATATTGTATTGTTTGGGATTATTGGTGACGATTAGTAGCCAGCTCAGCTTCATTTACGTTTGATATCTATAATTAGCAGACCTAATTCCAACATGAACATTCAATATCAAAACCAACTTAAATTCAACTTAAAATAACTTATAACTTTAATTTACACAAAATGTTAAACTGGTTCCGAGATTTTCACCGTAAAGCTGCGTTTGTTTATCCTAATGAAGTGTAGCCATAAGAAAATAAAGGTAGCTGTGAATGTTGTCATTGATCCGGGACAGCTTTAGTTTGCTTAGCAGTGATCCATATCAGCAAGTTTCCAGAAACTTCTGTAAATTAGTCGTACTGATTAGGAAGTGTGTATCTCCAATCTGTCATTCCAGTCAAGCCGAGCAGGACACTAGGCACAAGCTCTCCAGCTCTCTGTCTCTAGCTTTTTAAACCTTCCGTTGCTTGGTTTCATGACGTTCAAAGGTCCGGTGATAATGCGTTCTAATTGGTTTAATTGGGCTCTAATTGATGTGATGAGTGAGTCAGGCAATACCATGTGGCCTGGGTAATGCCACATACCTGACCGGGATACTGATTGTCTAATGTAATCAGCAAGAGAGAGGACCTCTCTGAGAGGTTGCCTTATTTCTGCTCTTTATTTCTGCTCTGTCATCCGATACAACATTTTACCTTCCAATCAAATCACCGCACAACCCAATTCTATTTTTCCGACAATACTCTTGAACCACGTGAAGTGTAGTAGTTGTAATCTGCTCAAATAAACCCAGTATTTACCCTGCTGAGTGCTGCCCCGGGACGGTTTGAAAGTATCTGTGGAATGTATTTCCTCCCAGTGTGATCATCAAAAGTAGCGGAGTTGTCGCATATTTTGAAGTTATCTTGGCGCCCTAATCATCGCAGTGAACAGTGTGAGACAATCTTGCCGTTATTTTAACAAGTCCCACCAGGGGCTCCCGTTGGTTTCCCCGGCAATCACGTGGGCCCTCGTGACCTAGCAACGGTGAGTCACGTGGTGTAACCCGATCTTGTATATGATTAGGAGACAAAGCAATGTTGATTCGACCCAAGTGACTTGTTTGGTGTTTCATTACCAAGCCACGCTATGAGTAGATCTTGCCGATTATTCACCATCGTTTTAATACAGGAGGGGTCACGTGAATACCCACCTTTTTGAGTGGATGGAGAGACAAATAGTAGTTTAGAGAGCACTTTTTGAGTGAGTTCAATGTTCTGTTATATTACAAGATGTTCTTCATTCTTTGTGTTTCGCCTCTCTCCGTTAGTTAAGTCTCCGATCATCAACTCTAGTAAACTGTCTCCGGCTTTGTTTTAGTGAGCACCCTGCTCAGACGCCCTGCTCCGACACCTTCATAAGAAGTGGTGTTTTTACACTGGTTTGGTATTGTTTCTTAATGCCCCATGTGGCACGTAGAAACTTACTTATCATTCGTTTTTGTTAACTTATAAAGTTGTAAAGCGATGCAATTCCACATATTATTCTGGTTAATATCTATTTATAAATCTTGCTCGACGTTTACTACGTAAACTTTTCAGTCAATTATCAGTGAAACAATTTAATAAGACATCCCGTGCGGCTTTCAAACACAACACGTTTCACTTTTTTCAAACACAACACGTTTTACTCTTTTCACGCCCTTTATATTTACGTCTGGTTGTAATAATTTGAATGATAGCTGCTGACCATCCGAGTGGGGGGGGGGGGGGCATTTCAAGTACTAGAGCGAGCTCCAGCCAATCTAGCCACTTGTTTTCTAATAATAGATTATGGTTTCCCCGACATAATTTCCCCGGCATAATTTCCCCGACGTAATGTCTAGCCAGGTTTTTAACATGAGATAAACCAGTCAATGTAATTAAGGTACCACTTGACCACTATCAATATATTTGGTCGCTAATCTTTCTAGAGAAATTTCTCGATTTTTGCTTTCTAAAATTATTTATCAATGGCGGCATTTTAGCTGGAGAAGTTGTGTTGAGTTTCAGACGTTTTGTAAATCGGGAGTTTAAAACAGGACAACATTCGTAGTCTGTAAAACGTAAAGCTGGGTAGGAACCGTGGCCAATTGATCAATGTGATTGATTGTAATTAATTATGCAGTAATTATGCCTGTATCCGGCCCCACTTCTTAGTCTGGGATGCAGTAATGTGATATTGTAATTTCTCAGATTTTGTGAACGCATCATTCAGCTTGCGTGCCCTCTAATTGCTGTAACAGCACGCATTTGCTTTGTTGCGGTCAAGCAAGCCCTGCAGTCAACATAACGAAAAACAAGCCGACCTACTCATACGACTAGAAATTGGGTAATCTTGTGACGAATTTGTTCTTTATGGGATTTTATTGTCTTTATTGTATCGTGCCGTTATACGCTTCATGTTGTGCTTGTTTTGCTGCTTTTAAAATTATACTTTGTTTCGTTTGTATATTCCCTATATTGACGATTTAGAAGCGTCCTTTCTGTTCTTTGTGATGTGGTTATTCTTCACATTCGTAGATCAAAAGTCAATCGATGTGAAAATTTGCTGACAAATTTGTATTCATCCTTAATCTTAATTTTGCTCACCATAAATCAGAATGCTTAGCTTTATTAAAGCATTATTTAGTTTTTTTAAGGTGAATTAAGTTTTAGATTTATCGAGCATCAAATTTCTTACTCGATCCGTGTTTTGAAAAACGATTCCAACTTTGCCTAGGGTTAGGGTTTGTTTTTATCAGAGCCTTTTTTCACTATTCCCGTTTGCCGATCAGTAAAACCGAACTGACCGTCACAACACACAGCTTTTATTAATATTATAGAACCATCATCGCCACCTAAATTCACTCCGGTACCATGAGTTTGCACGTGAAGTCCTTGTGTGGTATTTATACACTCAACCATAATATAGCCTCATGGAGTTACGTTGCCTCAGTGCAACAAGCATAATAACTCATTCATAGTTTGCCCTGGCACCTCGGAGTCTGCCCTGTTAGCTTGAGTTTGCCCTCGAAGCTTGACTTTACCCTGGTAGCTTGAATTTTAAATTCAATTTACCTTGGTAGCTTGAGTTTACCCTGGTGGCTGGTAGCTCGAAGCTACCCTGGTAGTTCGAAACTACCCTGGTAGCTTGAGGCAACCCTCCAGTAGCTTTAGTTTACCCTGGTTACTGGTAGCTTGGGTTTACCCTGGTAGCTCGAAGCTACCCTGGTAGCTTGAGTATACCCTGGTAGCTTGAGTTTACCCTGGTAGTTTGAGACTACCCTGGTAGCTTGAGTTTACCCTGGTAGCTTGAGTTTACCCTGGTAGCTTGAGTAATGAGTATACCCTGGTAGCTTGAGTTTACCCTGGTAGTTTGAGACTACCCTGGTAGCTTGAGTTTACCCTGGTAGCTTGAGTTTACCCTGGTAGCTTGAGTTGCCATGGTAACTGGAACTCATTCTGAGATACTGCGCGTGACGTTCTTGATTGTGCAGTATTTGTACACTCAGTTATAGCCTCATGGAGTTATGTTACGAAGACTGCCTCAATGCAACAAGCCATAATAGCTCATTCAAGCAAATTTATTAAATGTATTAGTGATTGAATTAGTTAAACTAATTCGATGCGGTGTAAGGACTTGTAAGACAATGCAAGATCTGTAACGTTTTTACACTTACATTGCAAGGACTGCCGTTTCGCCAAGGCGGTGCCGTTGACATTTTCTCTTTTGTCACCATTTAAATTTTATACGTTTTATAATGCATTTTAAGTTAAGTCTCTTTTGATAGACCTTGGTACCAACCTTTCTTTTGAAGTTGTAAAATCAGCCCTGTGCCTGGTCCTGAGTCTACCCCAACTTTTACTGTCTCTATTCAGAGTCCTGCAAAGTATAGACCTTGTCTCATTGAACTATATTGAACTGCTATAATCTTAAAAGCAGGTGTCTCGAAATTAATCCAAAGCTCTGGAACACAGAGAAATATATCAAATTAAGTTGTCGGGAAATCTGATAAAATAATGGCAACTGGAGATGACGTGATTCGGCTGGTCCGGGGTTGGTGGCTTCTCTTTACTGACTAGACACGCTTGAAGTGCCTGATAGTTAAGAACGTCCCGTACCCTTTCTGCTAACCAGCAATATAACAAGATCAGTTTCCATCATTGGTTAATAAGGTGCCTTAAATCTGTCTGCTCTCATGCTTGGTTCGGTCCCGGTCGGTTGTAATATAAGCCAGGGCAAAGTGCACATTTCATTAGTTTGCCACCCTACATCACGGTTAATTCACTTTTAATGCCAATTCTAGATTATCAAATATCACCTTGGCCTTGCTTTATATCCCTGCTGCTTACCTGTCTCTTATTCTCGAGATCTGCTGTCCTCTATCTCGCTCTCGGCAGATTTAAGCGATCGTTTAGACTTACGAGTAATAGAACTCCAACAGTTGGAAGGGAGGCTCTATTAACGAAATAGGTCTCGAGCCGCTGTAGGACCCTGCTTGAGGACACCCCCTGACAACAGTCCTGGCTTCTGATTGGTCAGCAGTTGGTTTGCTGTCCTCTCATTGGAGGATCCGGGGAGGATGATCTGGTTGATGGTAGCAGGTGTCTAACTCAATAAGCTATCTCAAAGCAAGTAACACCTGACTTAGGCTAATTACCGGGACTAACTAAGGAGCTGGTAGGTGATGTCCGCGTCTCCGGCGGGTCCGGTGGGGGTTTCCTCCTCCCTCCCTCCGCTCTGGAGCGGTGAAAAGCCGTAAAACAGTGGGGGATGTTGTAACAGAACCCGTGGAAGTGCCTGAGTTGTGAGGAGGGGGAGTGGTGGGTAGATAGACAGAGATTGTGCGAGGTCCCTTGCCAGGAGCAAGCAGGTAACCTGATACGCACATAGTGGGTCCTGTGTTGTAGTGCTCCTCTCTTTCTACAGCCGGGCCAGGGGGCAGCTAATTACTCGAGGCGAGCGTCTCTTGCTTGACCGCCTTCTTTGTGTTGTAGTGCGTTATTTCCCTGCTACAGCGCACTGCCTCCCCACAATGGAGCTTGCTCCGACCCACCCTCACCGGTCTTTGCCAGTCCTTGAATCTACTAAACCTGGTCAAGTCTCTCTCAATACTGCGCACTGCTTATTTTGCTCGTCACCTGCTAGCTGTTTGTAAGCTCTACAATTTCCATTGTCTCCTCAGCTCCACTCGTATATTCCGTACGCGTATTTCGTTCTACAGAAGGAATATAATAGCTTCAGTGTTTCACAACATCTAGTTTGAACCTACAAGCTATATAGAATATAGATTAATTAGTATAATAAGTCTCTGCACCGTGAGATTTGTTCTTACACCGCAACTATAGCTTGCTTAATCTCTGTCAACTACTGGCTAAAATAATGCTACTTTTGTCCTGCCTCCCCATTGTTAAGAAGCCGATCCACCATCCTCCCTGGGGCAGCAGTAGTTATTGCACTAGTCCCGGGTCCTGAAAGCAAAGCTTTTAAAGTTATCTTAGTCCTGTTTAGGACGCTTTGTTGCTGAACAAAGATAATCACTGCTTGAACTGGCGGTTATATAGAAGTAGCCTCATTTGCTGATAATTAGCTTAGCTCATGCAGTCTTTCTGTCCCTTAAATTTCAATTAAATCTCAAAATATAGTGCAAGATAACTCAGGTCTTTGTATCAGGTTGATATTATAGGGGTATAAACTGTTTCACTAATTTTGCTTGTCACACAGAGTGAGCTATCTAATCTGGCTTTATTATTGGCTATCTGTCTTGGACCTGGTGTTAAGTTTTGATTGGTGGGGTATCCAGTGTCCTAAACACAATTTAGAAACATCACACTGTCCTACAGTGTCGTGACTTCAGTCGCTGTTAGATTGTTCCCCCGGTCGCGTCTGTATGTGACTTATATATTTTTAGCCGCTAGAAATATTATTAAATTTTACCGTTTACCGTTATTTGATAAGGATCAATTCAGCTGTGTTAAAACTAGGTCAATTGATTTTAAGATCAGTTCCGTTGATGAAAGATAATCGCAAGTTAAAAGTTAATAAGCTAATATTATGTAATTACACGTAATGCACATAACATGATTCCAGCTCGAATTCAATGAGGGTTGTTTGCCTGATTTCACGTTGGATCGGCTTTGTTCGCCTTGTGTCCGCGGAAATTGCCTTGTTTTTAAACTTCCAGATTGTGCCTCATATTACAGCGATAACGAAAGTTAGGCTTAACAATTAACATTTGATAATACTTAGCCAATACTTATCTGTACTACCTGTATAATTCCTATATACGATACTTTAACAGTACTCAGCCGTTAAATCTCCTTCTCTCCTTGGTATTTAACAGCGTTAGGAGTTAGGACGCATCTAACATTTAACATTGCCGAGTTCTCTTCTAATTCCTTGCTTGTGACGGGATGCGTTTACCTGTTCACGCTTGTGTCCCTAGTCCCTACTTGCCTGTTTAACAAGAAGCCTGTCTTGCTGTCAGTCATCTGCCGATACGGAAGTAGTGCGCTTCGTTTTCGTCAATAACGTAATTCGCTACCATGACAACGCTACCATGACAAAACTGCCGACTCAACTAAAACCAGACAATTTGAAGTAAGGCAAGTGCTGGTAGGGAAGCCAAGTAAAACAGCCAGGGATCACATGATCAGCCGAAGAGGTCACATGTCGAAAGCCAAAAAACACCCAGGCACATCAAGCCACGGTCTGTAGAAACACAGGCCGTGAAATTCCAGGGGGACGCAAAATTCCAGGGGGACGCGAGGGATTTGTACCGTGTAATCGTGTCTGACAAGAAATAGCACCACTAGGTGATGTTGCATCTGCGCTCATGATGATGAAAACTAATCCCCTAATCTAATTCTCTTATCTCTCCCTCCCAAATGATTGCCATGTCACGTGACAGATTGCCGGGCTGTGATTGGTCCTCCTCGCTATCCCTGACCTGTGACTGGCCGGGTGGGAGTGCCTGTAACCTCACCCTGCTTGGCAGCAAGCCGGCTAACTGCTGGAGCTTGTACACAGGGCCTGTCAGCGGGGTGTATCGGGCAGTAGTGCTCGGAGCCCGCACTGCTTGGAGAGTGAGTCACGTGACCCTACATCACGTGACCAACTTGACAGCCAGTAATTTAGAGCTAGCAGGGGAGGAGCGTGTAACCTGATCAGTTAGTTAGTCACACCGCACTGCTTGGTTGGTCAGCAATACTCCACTCTTTGTTGCTTTGTGAGCACTGTTAGCACGCTTACTGCACTTGTCTGAAATCTCAAGCCGTGGCGTTGCTGAGCCGTACCTAGCGTTACCAGGGTTACCAGACTGGGTTACTAGGCGTTACTAACCAGTTATCCTAACCCTTGGTGTCTGCTACTCGACTCCAGCACTTAACCCACAACTCACAACTCACAACTTATAATCTCATTATTTGCTTCTTTGCTTTCTGTTGTTCGTACATACAGGAGAGTTAATTTAGTTTAAATTATTTCAATTAATAGAGTAAGATAAAGCTATCTATCTTGCATTATTGTCCCTGCTTTGTGTTACTCACCAAACTTTAGCACTCAATTTCATGCTCTATTGAGCAGGAATACCGGGGGTATAGTGAACTAGTTATGAGGGAGACATGGTGTTACACTGAACTTACCGACTTTTGATTTGATGTTGAAAGCTTTGAACTAAGAATTCCTCCTCTCTCCTGAGTCCTGACTTTTCTGTATCGGTTATCACTTAATTGTTCCTTTCCCCTATGGCATGGGAGAGTTATCTTACAGGTAAATCAGGAGGGGGTATATAATAATATATATCTGCAAGTTTAATGTTCGTCTAGATAAAGGTCACCATTTCTGGATGGTTCCAAGTATTGCTTATGGGCAGCTGACTTGTGGTAATAACGTTTTGTCGGAATATTATAACCGTTAAATTTAAATTATACCTGTGAGACATGACCGACGTTGCCCCGGTTGATGCGCCCTCTATTTAACAGGTTATATAACGCTACTTCGTAATCTTTGCTTTGACCTGATTTAATTTGTACACCTAGCGCCGCCGACGACCAGGAGGAAGGTTTGCCAAATTCTATTGATAAAGATCCTCAATTTACAGGGGACTCTTAATAATTTTCTAATTTTGCTTTGCCATTCAATACCAGTAAACTTTTCGCCAGCTTCTCGTGGCCCTAACCTAATCCGCTCATTTAACCAACATTCGCTACGTGTTGAAATTTTTAATTGTTCTCGAAATTCAATTAGCCTGAGTCGGTTTGTAAGCTTGGGAGTTAGCGAAAAGCAAGGGTTGGCGGGATATCGTAATACAAGGCTCCCACCTGATCCTGTACATTGTCTCGCCGCCTCAGTGTCGTTGCTGCTGCCACCACATTTTAACTAGGCTAGAACTTTCCTTATAGAACATCAAGCCCAGACATTTGGCCTGGTACTGATTTTACTGGTTTATTTTATTGCTGATTTTACAAGTAAAGGATAAGCAGTCTGTCAACGCTGAGAAAGCCGGTCTTGGTGCTCGAACTCCTGACTGTGAATTGGTTTATGTATCCATCGTCGAAGTTTAGTTGAATATTAGCAGCATATCGATTCGTGGTTACTCTGGGGTTACTCAGCGCTACCTAATTCCTACTTAGTTTCCGGTCGTTGTCGTAAGGTTAGGCGTGACACTGTGTCATTCAGTTGGGTTGTCCAGTGGTTACAAATTGCTTTTTTCGTTGACTTACAATTTATCTGAGACACTAGCTAATCACACCTGCTAACATGTCACATGATCCGACGTTTTATAACATGGTCCGACGTTATATTGTACCGGTGTCGTCAGAAAATAAATCTATCTGTATTAGCTCACCTTTATTTCCGTTGCAATCAAAATACTGTAAAGTTTTATTTTACCGGAGAATTGTATTCAGTTAATTAAACTCCTCTTCTCCCAGGACATGGATGATAAATTCGACGCGCCTCTACTTGGCATTTTACAGAATTGTGGAGAACTGGAGCCTTTTCTGGAGGTAGTCCTGGGCTTTCTCTACCGCAAAACAGACTTCTTCAGGCCACTTTCTTCAGATCAGAGTATGGGATTCCCGCCGGGTGTGGCCAGGGAAAAGCTTCTCAAGGTTCGTAATACTTATTTAACGTTTTATTTACATAATTAGACTATTTTTTAAGCCTTCGCTATCTTCATGTTTAATTCAACAATCTAAACAAAGAATTAATATGGCTTATTATGTTGATGGTTATAGTACTATTCAGTAGTTTTACCTTGCTAATATTGCTATGTTTGGTCAGGTGTATAAGAAGTACGAGTGCATGGGGTCCCCAGCCACAGTCCCCCGCTCACCCCCTTCTAACAACCACCCTCCCACCCCTCCTGCTACACCTGGACTCCCCTCCATCACCCCCAGACCTACTGTTACTCCCAACGTTACTGCTGGAGAACTACTTCCCAAGCCGGAGCTGAAGCAGGAGGCGATGGAGCAGATACAGGGCGACTGGAGTACTTCCAGCTGGGACCATCACAACGGAGGGGTGACCGAGCACTACGCCTGGAGTCAAACCGCAACGGATGTTGACCTGAAGCTGGTACTGCCTAACCCCAATATTAAAGCGTCTGATCTCAAGATAGATATCAAACCTTATAATCTGAAGGTAAGTCTTTGATCACGTCTAAATATGAAGGGCTGTCTTGGAGTGTTACTGTAGTTTTGTCCTTTGTACTAACTATGTGGCTATTGTCTTGTTCTCAGAAGGGCCGATTTTTTTTGAGCCTGACATTCCGATATTCGCCAGGTTCAGTTGAAGCAACAGAGTGACCTCCAGACACTCTTAGAAGAGAAGCTAAACAGTTTGGTGAAGCCGGAAGAGAGTATGTGGAGTTTGCACAAAGGTGAATGTCTGCAGGTAGGAGCCGGAGTGTGCAGTGTTATCAGCTACCCGTGGTGTACCACGTGGTGTGTCACGTGACCCAATGTTAGGTCACATGTGACCCAATGTAAGGTCACGTGACGTGTCACTAAATTTCGTGCTTTTGCGTGTCTTGTGTCGCCAAATCGCTATGTGTTCTGTGTTGCAAAATGTATGCTATTCGGCGTTTGGATTTTGTTATCATTATAAGTCAGCATTCTCGAATCAGGCGACTGTTTTCGATATGTTGCGCTGCAATTTTGGAAAATTCATTCAATACATTCAATTCTCTTTACATTATCGTGCTGAATGGGCAGTAATGAACTTGTTGTCTGTTACACGAGACAATAATGAAACCTTTAACTAATCTTATGAATCTGGTCTGAATATTTGCCCCTTTATTTAAAAACATGAGCACAATATTTAGGAAACCTGATACGTCCTGATCTAGAACTAAAAGGACGTGAACCAGACGGGATTTATGTGTGTGTCGTGCTTGTGGCGAGTTCTTTAATGCACTTTCTGTCTCTCGTGGTATTGTAAAGTAATCAATATAACACCCATACCCACATGACATGACATGTGTTTCTACAGGCTGACAAAGTAAAGTATAGAATTAACACAGTTAATTTGTTATTATTATATACACTATAATAATAAGTAATAACAAATTAACTATCAATTAATAACCATAATATACACTTACTAGTGTAACCCGGCCTTCGGCCGGGATTTCACTGCCGCAGTTAAAAAGGGTAGGAGTAATTACCCGCTGAGTCAAAACCCGGATTAGGCGAGCAATTCTATTCGGAGTGCCCTCACGTATCCAATAGTATGCTTAAAAGATAGTAATTCTTAATCAATAATCAATAGAAATTAACCCTTAACACCATGCACCACACCAGCCTATCATATTTGTGAACATGCATTACATTGTCGTATGAAAGTATGAACTCTCTCTACAGTCCAAACAGACCGTTTGAGCACTCCCTCCCCTAATAAGTTTATAGTATTATATGACCATGTAATATATACGCCATGTAATATATACGCTACATAATATTATGCAGAGAGAGAGAGAGAGAGCTAGCCCCGTAACTCTTGCCGTTCTTCTCAAGCCATTTTATGTAACATATTTTGTGGTACAAAACCATCAATTAAACCATTTACCACCGGCCGATTTTTATAAAATTTGCTTATTGGCTTCGTCAGAGTTTTGTCGGCACTATACCGAAAAAACCAGTCCCGTAACTCTTACCGTTTTTTTTGTATAACCGTTCGGAAATTTCAAACATACACACACACACACACACACACACACACACACACACACACACACACACACACACACACACACACACACACGGATTTCTTGGTATTATTAAGACACTTATTATTATATACACACTTCAAATAAGCATTTCACAAGTAATTCTTTGAATTCAACAAAATGGTGCAAAGATTAAGATATTCCAGGTTTTACCATCCACGTAAATCCTAATCTTAACTGTTATATTAGCTTTATGAAGAGTTTACAACCTGGATCTGTTTGCAATTCTATTTTCTCTGGCTGTACTCCATTTAAGAAGCACATAATCTTACTCCTTATAATGCACCGTGAAGTCGCTCTATTTATATATTATGTCTATAGCCTAGAGGAGGCGTTCTAGCAAAATTGTAAGCGAAATTATAAGAATGTCGCCCCGGTATATTTCTCAGAGTTATAAGCAAATGTCGCCCCAGTGGCAACATTATCGCCTCGCATGTAGAAGGTCCGGGTTCGAATTCGGTCTCAAGCACTATTTTTCATCCGAACTGTAACAATGTATTGCAGGAATCTAATTACTCATATTTTATCCATGTCGGTAAATTCCTTGCCTGAACTATGGAAGTTTATCTGTTCAATATTTGGTTGCCGAACAATTTTATCAGCTCCAAAATCTCATCAGGCTGCAGAGTGCAGGTTAGAGGTGTTCTGGCGAAATTGTAACATTTGCGCACTGACCTAACTTTTGCGCTAATTTTGCATCTGGACTGGGGCGACATTCGCTTATAATTCTGAGATGAAAACATCTACTGATAGCCTATATCCGCAATTAACTTTATGGAGGACGCGAAATGGAGTGTTCAAGCCCCGGCTGGGTTGTTTGAATCTATTTTACTGTCTCAAAACGGAATTCTATTTTCAAAGCAGGAATAATAGTCCGTAGGGCTGCCCCTTCACTCTTTCACTATAATAATCATCATCTAAATTATTCCCTTTTTAATATAATAGAAGAGTTGAAAAAAAATGTTAGAGGCCCAGAAAAAGGATTTAACCAAAACGTTATTCCAGTGTTATATTAATTCAGCTTTATCATCCGCTCCACCACCTATGATAATAGTACAGCAAGTCTCTATCACGCAGCTTACTTTTAAACTAAGTCCAATATTCCGACATGTACACAATTGTATTCAATTGCTGAATTGTATAGAATTGTATAGAAGTGTATAGAAGTTATTCAGTCATGCACTTTCTCGAAGTTTTTAGCCATATATCAGGTTTCACAGTGTTACAGTCATGATGAAGCATTAATGTACTGTAAACATAGTAATTTACTATTAATTTTCAATTACAATAGAAAGTAAGAACCTGACTGTGCTGTTATCCAAGAATAAGATTCTGATAGCACCTACTCAGTGTTGTGAGTCTGAATTGAAAAATAGGATCAGTGCGGGACGTGTATAATTACATATATAGTGGTTTCATCATTAAGTCAGTCAATATAAAACAAGTTAATCTATAGTCTTTACGTGTTAATTATAATGTATACTACTTAGAAGTTAGAAATACTAGTACCGATTAGTAGTAGTTAATGCTATAATAGTTGGAGTGTGTCGTAAGTTTTATGTTTTATCTTAGTCTCCCTGTTTCGTGGTCCATATTTAACCATTTATTATTCTGTCAGCTAATCTAGATCAAACATTAAGCCACTTAACTTAATGAAATTCGTCAAGATATCTCACAATTACACTACATCAGGTGTTTCCAAACGTAAAGCTGTTTTGTCGTTTACTTTTTGAAGTTTGCTTTTCGAACCAAATTTGTAGAGTGAGCTTTTGAATGTGAATGCCTCAAATTACTTTTAAAATTGATGAATATTTGAAGAAGAAGGCTTCTTCAGCTATCTGTTGAAGAGGTCTTCTTATAAAGAATATAGGATGTAGAGAATGTTCACTTCATCCCAGCGTCCCGACGTCGCACGCCGCGCACCAATGTACTCACAACTTTCACTTTAATTTTCCTGTTTTCTGTGTTGAAAGTCTTCACAGTTACCCGGTAGCACGCTAAGACGCGCGTGCGCTGCGCGCGAATTAATAATTCTTCGATTCGTCATGTTCGATTTTAATAAATCGTTGGTAGTCCCTCTACCGACAGGCGACAGTGAACCTAAAAAGCAGAGAACCCCAAAAATAAACTCAAATTTATTCAGACGTACTGCACACCTTTGGCTCCTACCAGTTACTATTGATTTACAGATCGATATTTAATGATTTTGTTATTGATTTCGTTTTCAAAATCGATCAAATGTCAAAGATGCAACTATGATTGTAACGTTCATCACAAGACTAATGCTTTCTGTTTTACTTAACGTCTATTCCTCTAGAAAATAAGCCAAATGTAGCAGCCGTCATTAAAAAAGAAGAGCAGTCGTCATCACCCCGTTGGAATCAAAAGGTTTGAGGAATTTTAACGGTCGTTTTAGAATATTAAACCTCTTTAAAACAGGAAAATAGACTGGGCACAAAGTCCTAAATTTGATCTGATTAGCTAAATCATTCATTTAAACCGATACAGTAGTAATTACACATAGGTAACTAATTATATTTCCTTACTTCAGTTTTCCTCGTTGGTACCGAGAAAGAAAGCCTCCCCCCGAGACAAACCTCAGAGGGTCAGAGGTCCAGCTATACAGTGGTCTGCAGAAACACTGTTCAACACAGCCGATGAAGCTAAAGCCTTCATCACAAGAGATAACAAATGGAAGTTTAGATACAGTCACCAAACTACGGAGGGAAAGAAGGTAATTATCTGCTACTGTTAGAGTTTAATTTCTGGCTCTATCAACCTTATGATCTCAATCGATTTATAGTTCAGTGAAGTGAGTTCTAAACCATTTCCCTCCATCAGGTTTACTACCAATGTACTCAGCGTGCTAAATTGGGATGCGGGTCTCTGTGTCACGTGGTCTACCATCACGTGGGCACAGCTCTACTCTACACTAACGGAGAACCTCACAACCACATCGAGTACAACAGTATCCTCAACAGTAACCCTCCCCCTGCTAATGTTGCTATTAGCAACCTCAATGTTCAGGTTGGTTCACTAACTCAGTCCTGCATTCACTATTTTAATTTTCTCACTGTTCAGGCTTTCGTTAAGTATTTAATTTAGGATATATAACTGACAAGTATAAATAATTATTAATTTTGTAAATAACCAATGTCACCTCCTCAGAGCCAGGTAGCCCTGCTACAAAAGATCGTCTCTAGTGCTTCCTCCGTGTGCTCCTCCGCAAACAATCCCTCCCCCAAACAGCCCACCCAACTCTCACCTCGACCTCGTGAAGACTGGACACCTGTAACCATATTTCAGAGCCCTGCTGACGCTAAAACATTCATTGAGCACGAGGGATTGTGGAAATTCTCATACAGTCACGCCACACCCCTCGGTAGAAAGGTAACAGTCTTTCTAATATTTAATCAATTTTGAAGAATTTGTTTCCTGAGTTAACGAAAAACATACTGGCCATACTTAGCTAAATCTCTAGTGAAGTGTACTCATAAGTAGATATAGATCTAAATAGGGTCCTCTCTCAGGTGTTTTACGACTGCACGCAGAAAGCAAGTGAAGGATGCCCCGCCAAAGTGCAGCTTTTCTACCACGCTGAAGAAAGCACCGTCTCCTACATGATAAACGGAGTACCCCACAAGCACACCAGCGACGCTGTAATGGTCAGAAAACGCGGTCTCCCTAGCAACGTCAAGGATGCTATCTTAGAAGCGTACGACAGCGGCTTCACGGACACTAAACTGGTCTCCAAGTACCTGGAGATAAGAGGTCTGGAACCTCCCACTGCTTCAAAGATCAAGTTGTTCTTGAGCAAGCATCGTCCAGAGAGTCAGAAGAACGAGGCGCCTATTAGTATGTTACAGTGGCAGTTCGCTCCACTTAATAACGATGAGGAGTCAGTGATGGGGGAGGTGGTCGCTAAATGCTGATTATTCAGCTGAGACGCGCGCACGTGGGCAGCTGCTGCAGACTTCACCGAGACAATTGAATAAGAGCCAGATACTTAGACACACCTTATCTGAGACAGCACACTTTGATTACAGTAGTTTAGTGAACAGTTAATCTTGACTTTTTTAATGTGACGAACTTTTCAGCCACGACTGAAATTGACTAACGATTGATTGCTCTATAATATTGCCATTTTATACACCTTAACATAAATTATCTAATTATTGATATTATCAATTTACATATTGTTCAGTTTTTGGGAATGGACCAACTTTTTTGGTTTTTAAATTATTCCGATTATAAACACACTTTGATTTGGCATGCTGATTGGGTCGGAACTGGAATTCCTGCCATTTTTCCGATGACTTCTTCTCATTAACATTGATTTAGTTTTAGGACTCTAGCATGAATACAATATTTTAATATTTAATATTCTACATTGTCCTAATGACAGTTTTATTTGACTATTAAATTTTCTTTACTGATTATTACCATGATATAATTATTTTATTATTGATTGATTTCATTGCATGACATTTATTTTTAGAAATTGATTTTAATTTTTAGACTATTTTGAAATTTTCAGCTAATAAAACCTTGTTTCATTATTGTACTTACAAATTTTCACAATTTTGGGGTTCTCTGCTCAATAAAAATGTAAATCGCAACGTTTAAAACTTCAAAATCACCGTCACCTGTTCCCAATTTTATAAAATTTTGGCACTAATTTAACCAACGAAATTAAAAATGACTAGAATAACTGATAAGGCCATCTTATTAATTGTGACCTACAATTCAGATAAATTTGGAGAAGGGTCGAGATGGTTATTGGTGGACGGGTATGTTTGAGGGTGGTCACGCTATTAAACTGGACACTATCGACACTACCCGTCACATGCATGAATTCGGCCAGGATGAACGGGCCTGTGTTCAGAAACTCATGTTCGATCAGCAGCAGAAAAGATTGGGTCAGCCCTCCAGCGACGAGCTGGTTAGCATTAAATATTTAACTTGTACGATTGTTTTAGTTATACTTCATTGTTTATTTGCATGTGTAAAGGTCGGAAAGTGGAGCAAACAGTTACGTCCACCCAAATATTAACAACGTCAAACTTGCTTAAAAACATCCGGCTCCGTGACAAAACTCGAATGCAGACCGTGGATTTGTAAATACATATAAAACCTAGAATATGTGACTTCATGTTTTAACTTCCGAACCTTCTGGAATTTAATTTTACTATCTTTATTGAACATCGACTCAGCTGAAACTATTTCCAGAACACAGAAGAAATATTGAAGAAGGCATGGAACACTGAAGGTTCCCCATTCGCCGGAACAGAATACGACAGGAGCAAGATTAATTTATCCAATAACCCTCCTCCTGGGCCCTCCGGGACATGAAGTGTTATGTTTTATATTTATCTGTAATACATATTACAGTGGGGTTATGCAGTTATATAACTTATATTGGTTTATTTCTTCGGCATTAGATCAATACTTATACAAAATATAGAAATAGTTATATATACTTTTTACATCTGAGCTGAATTAATTTATTATTTCAATATCAAATATTATTTTTATGTTTTATTATTATATTTAACCCTAAGTTGAACGATAACTATGGAAATTATGATACTTCTTAATACATAAAATCTGAAAATATATTTTTCATTCAAAAATATTTGGTAGTATGATTTGTTACCAACACTATACTTATTATTATAAATCATACATCATTGTCTCAAGTAGGTAGTACTAGTAGATACAGTAGAAATTATCTGGAACTATGTTGGGCACAGCCACAATTATATTTGGATCACTCTGTATACACTCTGTATACACTCTGTATACACTCTGTATACAGTATAGTTTCACGCACGTTGATTTCGGTTTTTACGGTAATTGGGCTTTTGTACATTGTATTGACGGATGTTACTCGTTATGAACATAATAGCCTGAGGTCCCCAGGTAACTCGGCTGATTATGTAATATGTGAAAGACCCCTTATAGTTATATACAATATAGGAAGTGTTTTTACTTTTACGTGTATGAAAGGCCATATGAAACTATACAGAGTGAGCGAGATCTAATTGCTACCCACTAAAACCATTCTAAAGTAATCGGTCAATCATAGCCATGGCAATAGTCGACGGCCTTGTCAGGGGCTCGTATTTGCTTCACTTCAGAGTTCTGAGCAAATTATAATATCTCAACGCCAACAGAGAGCACACTTCACATTGTATTTGTACTGCAACTGATTTGAATTCTTTCAAACTTGATGAATCAGGATAAAAGCCCAATGTGCAATATAATATATATGGACGTTGTAGGCCAAAAACTATAAAAACTGCACCATTTTTGCGAATAAAGCGCGCGTGGCAACCACAAACCAAGCGCCGTATAAGTATGAAGCGAAGCATTTTTAGCGAAAATTGCCATGCTGCATTAATTACGGTGGAATTTAATTATTTTATTCACATTTTTAAACAACTGTTGTACTGCAGTTTGGTATTAATTATATTAGTACCAACTTTGTCAATTAAATCGGAGGAAAAAAATTGTGTGCCAACTTATGGAGCTTGTTACAATGCTACATAAACTATAAATAATCTTTCTCGCAACCTTAACGGGTGATACTCGTAAAATATCTGTTCCAACTCGGCGCGCGTCCTGGTGCATGGTGGCTCTTACTAATTCGCTCGCCCAAAAATTTCACGTGACTTTGGTTTTTATGGTTTTGCAGCCGTACAAAACAGTTTTACATAAACCCTTATCCCAACCCTAACCCTAACCATAACCCCGAAGTTAACCATAACCCTTACAACAACCCTAACCCTAACACGAGCCCTAAACAATCGAATTCGTATTTTACTAGCCTGTCACGTGACCAAAACGGTTTTTTGCCCATAACTCTCCAGGGAAGCATTTTAACCCTACGTCATGGGGGGGTGATTCGGAATCAGCGTCCAAAAATACACCGATTCCGATCACTTTCATGCCTAAAGGGCCTTTTCACAAGAATTTTCTTAAAATTTGGGCGAGCGATTTAGTAGGAGCGCGTCCTGGTAGGTTGTAAACCTACAATCGCAACCTTACCTAGCTTGGTACTGGTAATTTATTAACCATTGTTAATGATCTGTTGTAGGTTTACAACCTACCAGGACGCGCGCCGAGTTGGACGGTCCAATATATGGAACAGATATTTTACGAGTATCACCCGTTAAATGATCTGGCCTGGCGCGCGCCGCGCTACTTCGTAGCACTTGCCATCGGGCCATATTTCGTTGTATCACGTGGTGACCCCCACTGTCGCTTCACTACCCCTGTAGAGTTTCTACGATACAGGGGGAGCCGCGCACTCGTGCGCGGCGGGTCATACATGACAACGTATGACAAATATTTCGAAAAGAAAGCGGCGCGCTACTTCGAAGAAATTTAGACGAGTAACATCCGTCAAGTAATTTATTGATTGCTCCTTTTACGTAATAAGCGACTGTTTAGGAATCTTCAAAAGAGTGCCCCGCACAGGGACTAGCGTGCCAGGTAACTCGTTGATTGACGTGACGTAACGATGTCGTTAATGTTTTGCAGATCGGGCACGTGTAGTGCGATGCGTTACTGGTTACTGTGCCGCGTCGCGAACTCAATGAGGCTTCTCACAGCTAGATCGGCGAAATTCGCTACTGTGCCACGCCGAGCTGCGATGAATTGACATCGTCAATTAACTCGGGCACGTGGCCTATTTGAGTATTAGTACATTTTCAATTTTCCCGATGTATACCAAAAATAAAAATCATAATTATTTGATTGCGAGAAACATTATTTGATGCACGGTGCGACCCAGAATTGCATCGTGCTACAATTATTGTTTTATTACAACTATTATTTGATATCTAAGATGTAAATGATTTTTGTCATACGTTGTATGACCCGCCGCGCACGAAGTGCGCGGCTCCCCCTGTATCGTCGATATAGTGAAGCAACCGTGGGGGTCACCACGTGATACAAAATGATTTATACTTATTTTGAATTTGAAGTACTGTTAAGACTGCATTCGTCACAATCACACTTTTACGCCGCGCACTATACTGGTATTACGCATGAAAATTGAATCGACGATGAAAATCGAGCGCTACAAAAATAATTATTCGCTTCTTCACTGTTTTTCTTAGGTTGATTAAGAGACCGTTCTGTTATGTTATTGCAGAATATTTTGCCATTCGTTCCTTTGGACATTCATGTTATTTGTTAAACATAGATTTTACAAATAGAGAGAATATATAGATATATGCTCGATAGTATTGCCTGAATAAATAGTATCTGGAGAGAAGATTTGTAGGATACAATACTTGAGTAGGAACAGTGTGCCTTGTGACGTGTAAAGCTGTAGGAACTTCTCACGACAATAGCTTGATAACTCAACATTGTTCACACACGTTTCGTGTACCTTCTTAGCTTATCGATTACAGTGACTGGGTTATTGACTTTGAGTAGGGAACTAGAACATCTAAGGCACTTTTCCGAATTTGAGGACTTTTTAATTGAAATATTGCCTGATTTGTCAGCAGATTATTTATATCTGAACGCCTGGTACGAAGTGCTGGTATGGGGCAGTATTAACTTACAGAAGGTGGTGGCAGAAATGGCTTGACCTTTATTTAGGTCATGAGATCAGGCACGTAGCCAGGGGGGGGGCTAGGGGGGCGGCAGCCCCCCCGGAAAAAATCGAACCCCAGAAAAAAGATAAGCCCCCTAGTCCCCATGGTCGCCTGGTAACTGGGCTGTGTTTATGACTGCAGTCAGTCAAAGATTTGAACTGTGGATTAGCAAATATATGTCATTAAATCCAAGCAAACATTCTAGAAGACTTCTATAATTATAGTCAATAGTGTCCCCTAGACCGTAGGAAATGTAAAAATCTTAAGACGATGAGGCCTGAGTAAGTCGTAAATTCTGATTGGAGAATGCAGATTGCTGTTGTGAAGTTACCAAATTTACGTGAGTACTTGATTCTTTTCAATCCCAGTTTATTGCTGTCCTACAAATTTCTTTAATGCCAAATGTCGTCTAAAACACCCTGTTTCGCAAAAAATTTCCGGGGGGCTGCGCCCCCCTAGCCCCCGCCAAGGGGCTCCGCCCCTGGACCCCGCTGGGGGCTGCGCCCCCAGACCCCTGCCACAGCTTGCTCGCTTCGCTCGCTGCGCAGCTTGATTGGACACGTCGGCTCGCTTCGCTCGCCGACAGCCCCCCTCAAAGAAAAATCCTGGCTACGTCCCTGCATGAGATAAACTTGAAAGGGAGGGGCGGGGGGGGGGGGGGGGGGTGGATATTAAATCAAAAGGGTTAAAAGAGGTGCCATCGTTGTGTGCAGTTAGTATGTTAGTTTAATTTGTGGCTTCTGATACTATGCCAAATTTATGAAATTTTTAACTTCAATTTTTTCCGTAGTAAATAAACTTAGATGTAATTGCAGGATTATGTCACGACAGGTTAGACTGCCAAATCCAAGATTGATTACTGGGATTGTTGGCAGAGATGTTGTCAAAGACCCCTATTTCAGCTTAAACAAACTGTATCAGACTACTCTTACAGAGCTTGAGACCTTACCAAAGATTTACCCATACAGAGTTGAAACAGAGAGACTTACCAAAGAAAGGTGTCTAAATAATATGTTGGCTTATTTCAGTAAATTAATTTGATTGACTAATTAGTATCTTATTATTTAGTATCTTATTTTGATTGCAATTTTCATTTTCATATAATACTTGCAGAAGAAATCATGGGTTCAATAATTTCAGGATGGGGCTTTTAGAGAAAGCTAAATCAGTTGTGGAATTTGAACAAGCACTTGATACAAGGTGTATCGAGAATGTAATACAAGAAGCAAAGTCTGAGCTGCTGTTGATAAGAAAACTACCGGGTTGGGCCCCATGGGAGCCCCTGGTTGGAGATGCTCCTGAAAATCAATGGAAATGGCCAATATAAACTTATCATTCAAACAGCTACATTCTGAAATGATGCTTAGCTATGAAGTTTAAATATATTGTACAATGTTACATGACGTCATTATAATATGATGTTCTCATTTCAAACTTTCCACCCTAGTTTCTGATACCTATTTAATGGATGAATTTAAAGAGTGTGTTTACTTTTCTCTACTGTAAATACCATCTTAATTGTTACCTATCTTGCCCTGAAACCTAGTTTGAAGTTTTTCTCTTCAATATTTTTCTATTTAGTTAAATACGAGGGAATTATGAAGATAAGTTCTAAAATAGATCTTTTGTTTTTAACTTATCGCCAATCACCATAGAAAAATTAATCTTTAAAGAACAGTTGCAATATGTCAGCTAAATAATTGACATATTATTGTCAAGCACACAATATCATGTTATTTAGGGAATATGCTATTTAAAGATTAGTCCCTAACGTTATTTATCTGAATTATTTCATTCTTAGTACTAGCTTCCAGTAACTATGCCTGGTCTACCCAACGCAACAGAAGCCTTTGTCACCCTGGTAACAAACCCCGAATATGGACTTGGTGCAGCAGTGCTAGGCTACAAACTCAGGGCCGTGGGAACTACACGTGCTACTGTTGTCATGGTTACGGAGACTGTACCAGAGACCACTAGAGCTATGCTCGCTAAGACCTGGGATAAAGTGCTGGATGTCACACAGCTGGATAGTAAGGATAGTGATAGACTTGCTATGTTGAAGAGACCTGAACTTGGGATTACTTTCTCCAAGCTTAACGTGTGGAAACTCAATCAGTATAAAAAAGTTAGTGCTCAGCTGTGTCGTGTGAAGTTTTTTTCCCAATAACATTGAAATTGTTTGATCTTTGTATTGTAAACTGTGTTGAACCAAATTAAAACTCCAGAGTATTCGTTTTTTGGAATCGTTCACATACACCAGATTTTGGCTATTTTAGAATCCTCCCCCCATTCATAACGCTAGAGTAACACCTCTGCCTTATTACATTATTATATATGAACAAACCCAAACCTATTAATCTAACAGGTAGTTTTTGTTGATGCAGACACCATGCCCCTCTCCAATATAGACGACCTGTTCCAGTATGAGGAGCTGTCCGCCTGCAGAGATGCGGGGTGGCCTGACTGCTTCAACACCGGACTCTTCGTTCTAGCACCTTCTCCAGGTAAACACTCACATTGTGTGTTCTCTAATAATTATTCCTGTCAGAACTCAGAATTGTACTACTAGTTAGTAGTAGTAGCAGTAATAGTAGTTTCATATTATGTGCCAATCCTTAATTGTTATCGTGATATTTATTTTCCGTTGAAACAGAGCCTCATTCTTGCTGGTCATGTATTCCACTCATAACGACTCAACTCACTACTCACAGTTTTAAAATCAAACGTGTAAAGAACGCGAACGTACACTAGACCTAAGTTTTGACCGGTTGCCATGTGGTTGGTAGGGACCCTGTGTAGAAGGACCTGAAAACAAGGGACCATATCAGTTTTGTAACTGGTTGTTGTACGTGTTTTTAGTATTAGCAGGATCTAATTAACTCTAGTTTATTTAAACACTAAACATCGTGTGTGTGTGTTTGGTGACTAACCACTAATCCCAGTGAGACTACTAGTGACATTCCTCAGACCTGATAGGTTTATTTAGAATGAACATAATGGTAATAGTTATAAAATCACTGTAACAACGCAGTGAACCGCCTCTCACTAGTAAAACGATGCTCATGAAGACTATGTTAGTCTCACAGGATAATATTGTCACATACAATTGTCACATACTCACAGTACTCACATACACTTATTTCGAGCATTACGCGTTTTTCATGAACTAATCTGCGCATCATTGGTCATCCTTATTTTTATTAATTTGGGCCAGGGTTTAGCCAAAAATAAGGCCAATAATGAACGAATAATTTAAATTTACACCGCTCCCTTTTTTGGACATTCATGATTTGTAGCTTTAAAAGTCACCTTATGGTTAGTTGTTGGAGTGAGCAATGCTCTTCCTCACTAAATCACAGTAACATAATATGTTGTTACTGTTACTAATATATTGTTACCGTGCTCAGTGGAAATGTTTCCGAATAGTACTCCATTACTCAATGGTTCATTGTACATAAAATACTTAATACATACTATTATTAATAATAATACATGTACTAATTGTTACCTAATTGTCACCCTGCCCCCCCACAGACACATATAAAGCTATAATGAAGCGAGCGTGCGAGGAAGGGTCATTTGACGGAGGGGACCAGGGGCTGCTAAACGCTCACTTCAACACGTGGTCCCACGGTGACATTAGCAAGCACATCCCCTTCTCCTACAATGTGAACCCCAACGCTAGTTACACCTATCTGCCTGCTTACAAACACTTTGCTGATCAGGTCAAGATGGTACATTTCCTGGGAGCTGTTAAACCTTGGCATTATCAGTATGCTAACGGCAAGGTAAACACTTATAATAATTAGTTAACTTTAAGATTACTGATTTCCGCTGTTTAAATGTTGAGGGTGTGGAGATATTGACACTTTAAAGCTGCGATAAATTAAAAGTGTTTTTGCCTCACAATCGTACAAGAGTTGGATACAAAATTGAAGCTTTTTTTGATATTTCATGTTTTGTGTTAGCAGCAAGATCTTAGATCAAATGCTGCGCAAAATTCCAAATCTTCCATTAAAACTGGAATTTGTTTATTGAGTAGCTGCACAGTGAACATGTTCCTGCGATTGTGCCAACGCCTCTATTTGCTGAAAATAGTGCAGTGTAGTCAGGTATTACAGTAGTATCTCTCCTTCATATCATCTTCATATTAAGGTGACTACTGACTACTAGCTATTACTAGCTACCAATATCTTACAATTAGGTACAAGGACAAAACCTGACTGAGCATACCCGCAAGTTCCTGGAGGACTGGCACAAAGTAGCTGAGATGGTCAAACAGAGCTACTACCAACCAACTTCAGGTAACTAGGTAACCAGGTAACCAGGTAACCAGGTAACCAGGTAACAAAGTAGCTGAGTTGGTCAAACAGAGCTACTACTAACCAACTTCAGGTAACCAGGTAACCAGGTAACCAGGTAACTAGGTAACCAGGTAACCAGGTAACCAGGTAACCAGGTAACAAAGTAGCTGAGTTGGTCAAACAGAGTTACTACCAACCAACTTCTGGTAACTTTCTTGTTTATTTTACATTATACTCAATATACAGTAACTGCAAAGAAACTGTTTCCAGTTTTGTTACAAGTAAACAGCTATTATTTCCACTAACCCAGTGTTTAACCCTCTTTCCCAGCTGCTCCCTACGTGCCCCCGATATCTACTGGTTCTACTAAACCTGCTGCTCCGTCCAGTCACGTGGTACCTGATGACGTCAGCAGTGTTCTGTCACACATCACAGCTCAAATAAAGAACAAGGAGAAGGCTAAGTCTTCAATGTACTAGATTGCGAGCCTCTGTTGCGAGCCTTTGTTGCGAGCCTCTGTTGCGAGCCTTTGTTGTGAGCCTAGCTCATTGAAGAAACGTTACCCTGCATGGTTTGAGGGTCGGAGTAATTACCTTTTTTATGAGACTGTTCACTGCACACTTACTGTTATACTTCATGTGCAGAATTAGTTATAACATAATGGTGATCTGACTTCATTCTCACCTGTAAAAGTGGAAAATAAGTTAATCACTAATATTTAATTATACTTAATTCTGAGCTACCATGTAAAAGACAGTGAGCATAGTTTACTATGTGTGCATTGAACAGATCTTAATACATTTGTAGTAGTGTTAAAACTTGAAAATTTTATTTTATAATTTTCTGTTCGTTGAAGATTTTGTGAATGTTAGAAATGTTAGAATTTATAGTAGTTGTTATATTCGGATATATTACATATTATTATGAACAAGGTTTTAAAATTAATCGTTTTAAATGTTTAATACTTAATGTTTCTATCGCATGTACTTTGCGATGCATCTTTTTTGGCTCTCGCAACGTATTATATTTTTGTATTTTAAATGTATCTTTACTTGAATCAAGATTTGATATTGGCTCATCTGAGCTAGTTTTACAAGATTTTAAAGCGTTGATCGCTAATTTATTATGAAATTAATATTCATCAATTTTTACAAAACGTTTTTGATTCTAATACGAATAACTATGGTTAGTACCAGTATTTCCGATTTAACATTTTTATTATGATTCACATTATAAATACACACTGTACGAATTCGATTTATTATCTTGATTCATGAAATTCATTTTTTTCTTGTATTCTCAGAATCATTGAAATGCTCAGAATCATTGAAATTCTCAAAAAATATCAAGGCTAGTATAGAGCAAACAGTTCCTAGTATAGATCAAACAGTTCCTAGTCATTGCAGACAAATGTAAGAATTTGACACACAGAGTAACCATTATTTAACCACTATTTAACCACAGCTGCAGTGTACCAGTGTACCAGTGTACCACTGTACTACTGTACCAGTTTACCAGTTTACCAGTGTACCAGTGTACTGACGAACAAGTCTCCCAAGTAACAGGTAAAATAAAAGTGTGGAGTGTTTATCACAGTATATCTAACAATATGTGAAAAGTAACTATCAGGAACCGACCGGAATGGACTTTTTGCTGCCGGACCGGATTTTGCCGGATATTAATCTAGGGCAAATATAAGGTTGCCAGAACTCCGGAATGTGCCGGACCTTGTCGGAAAATTTAAATTAATCCTTCTTACGTATTGGGCTTTTGTCATTATCAATTATGATATTAATCCTTATAAACAATAGTTTGTAATTACACAATAGGTTCCTCATTTAGTTAGTTAGTTATACGACCAGACCGATGGTGTTTAATGTTTAGGTCTATCTGCAGTAGACATCAAATATCAAATCAATAAGCAGTACGTTGTCGTTGTAACAAGATTAGACAAGTTATTATCAATATCAGAAATGATATGACAAGTTATTATCAATATCAGAAATGATATGCAATTGGCATATCCTATCAGACCTCGACCCCTTGAGCGTCTACCTTGCTCAAAAGTTTTGATTTTTAGGGATTCGAGTTAAAATGTGAAAAATATGCATTTCAAGATTTTAGAAATACATTTAAAAAAAAGAAATATCCGGCAAATTTTTTCCCCTACTCTTGCCGAAGGCAAAAAGATCCTAGGGAATGAGTAATCGGGTTTGGATATATGAGGTGGCCCGATGGACCTGCGGTGATGACAAAAGTCTGCTCCTTCGCAATATAGACCACTCCCTTATAATTAAGTGTATAGGAAGCGTCTGTTATGCTGCGCGCGACGCTAGCCATGTGTTAATTAATTACAGTGAAATTCCTCCTTCGCAAAGTTATTTTCCGCAATTTTCTGGATTCATTTATTGTTGATGCGCTCGGCGCTACATTGGTCAAATTAATCGTCAATTTTTACCATGCACGAATCCCACTCATTTATAAAAACATAGTACAAGTAAATATGGTGCACTTTTTTCCAGTCACACTTTTCACTCAAAAGAATTAATGGTACAAGTACATCGTAGGGAAAATTGATCGTGCGTGGTTTAACCGCGGCGAAATTCTTGTTGAAACCGGAGCCGGAACCGGATATTGAAGCCGGATATCCGGTCGGTTCCTAGACTCTCATCATAAGGCACTGTTAAAGCACGGTCTCTTAAGCATGATACTCTAGCATGTTAGAAGAACGTTATAGAGTTTAAAGAGTTTTTTGGGACATACTTCCCGATCGTTTGATACTAGTGAGTGTAGATTGACATAAGTTAGGAACGCCCATTTTTTCGCCACGTAGACCACTTTTAGTATACTAGCTCGTTTACAACAACAGTGAAGCTTATTATTTTATAGCTACCGAACATCAAGTATGGTAATTATAACGCAATTGCTGTACGCGTGTGCAATTATATATTAAATATTGTTTGCAGCGACCTAGCAATGGCTGAAAGTGTTGAAGAAGGAGCTACGAACGTGGTCCCCACAACCTTGACCAACCCAGAAGTGCTGAGATATGGCAGACAGATGATAGTTGATGGTATAGGCCTACCCGGACAGGAGGGTCTTAAGAAAAGCAAGGTTAGTTTTTAGTAAATTCTGCAGTTTGCTTTGTCAGCTCTGAAAATAACTTTTATCAGTGAATATTAAGTATTATAATATTAAATTAGTTTTTGGTAAGTTCTGCTTATTATCTTTATCGGACATCTGTGTTTGTTTAGCAATTAATGCTATGATAGCTGAACAGGTTTCTCGGTGACATTGTTATTGTAACCGTTAGAGTTATCTCTTGTATTTGTACATCTTCTAACAATGTGTCCTGTGAAGGTATTGATAGTTGGATTGGGAGCGCTAGGATGTCCTAGTGCGCACTACCTCGCTGCTGCTGGGGTTGGTACTCTAGGACTACTTGATGACGATATTGTGGACGCCTCCAACCTTCATAGACAGGTGATAACTTCTTCTTTATTATTTTAAGTAGCTCTTAATTGATTAAGTTATAATTGTTTAGCATCACTACTCATATTCGCATATAAAATATTTGAGGCACAAATCTTATAAGAAATAAGCTGGAAAACAACACACAATAATCTTCAGATCCTGCACAGCGAGAAAGAGATAGGAGTACACAAAGTGGACTCAGCCATATCCCGACTGCACGCAGTGAACAAGCACGTGACCTTGGTCCCACATAAAGTGGACCTGAACGCTAGCAACGCTCTACCCATCATTGAACAGTACGACCTTGTGTTAGACTGCACCGATAACGCTACCACTCGCTACCTTGTTAACGACTGTTGCGTGCTTCTCAAGAAGGTTCTAGTGTCCGGTGCTGCTCTGAGATTCGAGGGACAGGTGTCTACCTACAACTACAAGGGGGGGCCGTGTTACAGGTGTATTAACCCCAACCCTCCTAACCCTGACACTACTCTCAACTGCTTTGAAGCAGGAGTGCTGGGACCTGTTACAGGAATAGTAGGATCTCTCCAAGCCGCCGAAGCTATAAAGATATTAGCTTCCAATGAGTCTGCGTATGCTGGTAAGATGATGCTGGTCAGCCCGTGGGATGGTATAATGAAGGCGATAACACTCCGCTCCAGGCAGAAAGATTGTGTGGTATGTGGCGACAACCCCTCAGTGACGTCACCAGTTGATTATGTGCAGTTCTGTGGTAGTGGGAAGAATAAAGCGTACAGTAACGCCAGCACTGAACAAGAGAGGATCACGTGCAAGCAGCTGAAGGAAACACCTTACAAACACCTAATAGACGTCCGGCCAGCCGTGGAGTTCGGGATATGTGCTCTGGGGAAGTCAGTGTGTGTCCCGTTTGGTGAGATGATGTCAGACAAGGCGGACTTGGAGCCTCACATACCTGAAGATACCTCAGAACCAGTGTACTTGTTGTGCAGGGCCGGTATTAACTCTCAGGTAGCTGTCCAGTATCTCAAGGAGAAGTATCCGAATCATTGTTTTAAAGATATTATCGGCGGCTTGTTGGGCTGGACCAGCGATATAGACCCTTCTTTCCCTATGTACTAAGTAACGTGTGAGTCAGCTGCTGAAGTTGTATTTATTACTGTCTTCTAGATTAAGTTCAAAGTAATGCTGAAATTAAAAATCATTAAAGCCTTGTTTTATAAAATGTTTCAGCAGACATTCCCCATTCTTTGCTATGATGTTTAATAAGGAGCATCACGGCTCTCAACAGACAAAGTAAAACAAAACACTTGATTGGTAAAAACTAAATTAAAATAATCGACGTTTGAACGGCATCCATTGCAGCCCATATACTTAGTTACAAATTATTATATCTAAAAGTCTAAAGCTGGTTTGATCTACCTCTAAATTAGACTCTATAAAGATAGTGGTATAAACACGAAGGTTATCTCCGTACGCGTAACTGATAGGTAGTCCACTAGAATCACTACTATAACTAGTGTAGGAAGTGTCTACCAATGGCCATGGCCACTCTCTGGACACCTTATTTTGTCTGCCTTTTTGTACTCTTTATATTTATTCCGACACGTCTTTATTTTAGAGTTACAGTTCATCCAACTCATTTTTCTTCTTTGGTATTCACAAAGCCTCGCCGTTCGACATTTTTTGTCCTGTGGAGAATTTATCATTCATTTCGGTAACTGTCGGCGTACACTGTACATTATCGGGCGGTGTACAGTCAACAGTGTACAGTGTACAGTGTACAGTGTACAGTGTACAGTGTACAGTGTACAAGGTCACGTGATTAGCCACTTACCGGAACTGCAAGTCAAAAATCACCTGACCTTGTTCACACATTGTTTAGTCACATTGGTAATATTTGAACCATTACACGCCCGACAGGCCTAGTAGTTCCCAGTAAAAGTAAAGTTTTTATTCCAAACATTCCCAAAAGGTGGAAATGGCGATGAAGCACCCTATAGAGATAAGTCCATCAATGATAAGAATAATAAATAGAGATAAGAACAACAACTAAATGTTTAAATGTTGGTGTCATGTTCGTGGAAACTAGAGCTAGTGATATTACCCTGGTTGTCTTTAATGACTTCAGCTGATTCGAACTCAAACACTTAGTGGCAGCTTTTCCTTCACATAAAACACAAGCTAGTACTGCAACCAACAAAACTACAACATAACCTTTCATCGTTATAGGAGAACAAGGAAACTGATATTCATACTGACTGTGTAGAAACAATACCTAGTATGTTAGACTTCAAGTTACACGTGCAGGACTACAAGTTCCACGTGCAGAACGACAAGTTACACGTGCAGTTAGTTATTTCACGTGGTGTGCTGAGCAGGAAGATAAAACCTCAATATTTGTGGGAATTGTTTCTTGTAGTCTCGGTTATCATGTTCCTGCTAGTCAATGAAGACTTCTAAATCATGGGCTAATCTAAGTTGCAATTTGGCGTGTAAACATCTTTACTTACGTTAAAAACAATATCAAACTGTTGATCCTAGTTGTTTAAACTCTGCTACTCTAGTTTTGCTAGTTATAGCTGCACTGTTGATTGTGCTGTCGACATTTTTCTTGTAACAAAATGTTTTTCAGGCTCAAAACCAAAAGCTAAAGAATTATTGAAGTACGCAGCAACATGGTTTTAAAGATCTAAAAAGTGGAAGTCGTTGACCATTATTCATATGTAAAACTGAAGTTTCACTAATCTTAAATTTAAATTTAAATTTTTTAAAATGTTATTAATAGGCACCAATTTGCTGAATCGTATTTATCACATTGTGATTATGATAGTTTTTATCTTCCTTTAAAGGCGAGATGTTTGTTGTTATTTCAGGTTTGAAATTAATCTTTAATACAAAGGTTTTTAATTAGCTAGATGAACGTTATAATTTAACGTGTGCTGACAGCGTGGAATCTTTGTATGGACTGAGTTGTTAAAGTGTTGATAAAATGTTGAAGGAATGAAGATAGAATCATGATTATATCACGATTAGTTATAAAATACCTTTTAAAAGAGAGTTTGATTGTTTAATAGAAAATACAAATTGTATTGATGGACTTATTGTAAAAGGTATAGTAGATAAAATTAACAAAATAAAGTAGACTAATAGGTAATATTTGGCAATTATTCGAATAATTATTCCTCAAGACTTTTAACAAGTACCGAAAACTATGACCATGGTATCAAACAACTAACAAATAACAAATAAAGAATAATCTAGCATTTTGATTCACTAGATAAACGTACTGGCTCCCAATATACTTGTTCAGGATGTCCGGGGGTAAGCGTCCCATGAAACTAGCTCCCGATACCCCTACTGAGACTGTTAAATCTAAAGTGCTAGTAGAGAAGCTGTACAAAGCGAGTCTGACGAGGAGGATCCTCCTTAAATCAGGAGTACTGAACAGGAGGGTGGGAGGAGGCTTGTTGTTCTGCCTGGGTTTTGTGGGGGGCACATTTGTAGCACTGTTTCAGTTACACGTGGCAGTAAGAGGACAGACTTTCTACGACTTTATTGAGAGGAAGGGGGCTAGGTACATGTGGGAGGAGATGAGTGAGAGGGAGAAGAGGAACTTGTTGATCAAACATGGTAAAGAACATCTCATAGAAGGGTTGTGATGGGTTCTTAAAGAAAACTGCTTATTGAAGCTCATGTCACGTTTTGCTACGCTACTACCAAAGTCTCTAGTATTTGGAACGAACACCAAAATTGATCAACGCGAACAAATTCTGCGGTGAAATCCGGTAATCTGAGCAATGTGAACTTATTATGATACTATGTATCAAACTTCTACTGAGTATGTAACGTTAATAACGGATATTGAGAGTTATATTTTCACTTCGTGTGAAATGTTTTACCTATGTTTACAGTGACCATTTCAAATCAGTATAATATGTTTAGTGTTATTTTGTGTATGCTTCTTTTATTCGAGTGACAAGGCACCGCGCCGGTTATCCCTTACTCAATTGTATGCACACAAATATTTACTATTTTTATCGTTTAAAAATATAGAAACTTAACTCATTTGTTTATTTTATAGGATGGCCAATGACATCGACAGGGTAAGTTTTAATAGAATAAATATTAAGTTTATTAAGTTATGTACGTGTATGCTTATCACCTGCCGCATTTAAATCAGATTTTCAGATTAATTTCAATTTATTAATCAATAATGGTCACTTTTATTAAAGAATGGAATAGTTTATCTTTCACGCGCTAATGATTAATGCAGCTAAACCAATAAACACGTCTCAGTTTGCTGATGCAGAAGAGGACTGCGCACCTAGACAGCCCAACATAGAGATCAAATTCTCAGACAGAGCAGTGACGTCATCATACGATAGTGACGTCAGTGACTACGACGAGGCAGATGATGGGTTCTATGAGGCTGACTTTAAACCTGTGAAGAGTAGTGGTAACGCTAATTCCACCAAGTTAGTAATTAACAAAAACAGTTATCAGTTTGTTAATATGATGGATTGTTATTTATTAGTGATATTGATAATGTATCATTATCCTTACCTCTTACTCTTAAATATCGTATAATATATATATTATAAATTATCTTTATCCCGGTTGTTGCGACAAGTAAAAATGCTCTTATTAGGGAAAGGAGTTTACTCCAATCCGGATTTTACATCTTAAATATCCTCTTGCTGCTGTTCAATATAATTGTTCCAGGGAACGCACGAGTAACTCCTTCCAGCCTCAAGAGAAAGTGCTAAGAAAGTTCGCCTCTAAGATAAACGTAGAGAAGTATGATGGCCCCACCTTCCTACCTCGTCACATCTCTACTGCTCTGTCTGAACACAGTAAAACTCAGTCTGTTAAAACTGTTAAATCTAGGTACACTTATCTTATTGTCTCTGTGATATTTTAATGTTGCTGATATTTGTTAATATGTTACCATCTGTAAGAGAAAGTCTCTTATCTGTTGCAATATGTTAAAATTATTGGGCAGTATAGCGTATTTACAACTTATCTGATTTCTTATCTGAACATAATGTGCTTGAAAGATAAAATGGTAGTACTTTCAATCAATTGCACACTAGATAATACAATGGTGTTTTACATTCAGGGATAAATCAGATCGTGCAACTGTAGAGATGGTGTTAGATCCTAGAACTAGAATGATTCTTTACAAGTTCCTTAGTAAGAATGTTATATCAGAGATTAACGGATGTATAAGCACAGGTAAGTGTTATACATTGTACTTCAGCCGTACACTAATGTACACTTATGTACACAAATGTACACAAATGTACACAAATGTACACAAATGTACAAACTTAGAAATAGTATTATGTGATTCTCGCGTCGTTCCTCTTTTGGCACAGTATAATAATGTAGTAAGTCACAGGCTAATACTAATTTAGTGTTACTGTATAATAAAGGTTGCACCGCATTAAATTTTGATTTATGTGTAAATGATGTGTAAATAATGTGCAGGTAAAGAAGCTAACGTTTACCACGCCACCTGCAATAACGGACAGCCAGATTGTGCTATTAAAATATTCAAAACCTCGATCCTTACCTTCAAAGACAGAGACAGGTATGAGTTTCATTATATTTTGGTTTAATTCAATCTAAGAATTAATTATTGCAATCGTAATCCTCCGATGATCCCTTATTAATTATTCATTATGGTATTTGTTCCGATAACAATTTAGTTTTTATTCTCTCATTTGTCCAGGTACGTGACGGGAGAGTTCCGATTTAGACACGGCTACAGTAAACACAATCCCAGAAAGATGGTCCGCATGTGGGCGGAGAAGGAAATGAGGAATCTCATCAGATTAGAAACAGCTGGAATACCAGGTAATATTCACATATGTGATGTAAAACTATTAAACCTTCTTAGGCAGCTGTACCCTTTTAAAGTGATGTTAAATGCACTTGAAGTTTGAACACAGTTTCTTTGTTTAAATACGTATTTTTACGTTACTAGATTATCTTAACTGCCTAAAGAAATACTATAAGTTTAGTTACATCGTGGTTTGTTTTGAAAGACTAGATAGATGGTTCTCGATGGTTCCCAATAATCTGATCATTACTGTGCATCCAATCACGCACAGGGTCTACTTTTAGGAATTATGAGCCGGCGCAATATAATATTTGTAGACATTTGGAGCGCGCACGTACGTATTTACACGCGCGTACATACTACACGCCGCACGCGCGGCTGTCCTAGCGCCGGCACGCATGTAATTTCGTCGCCTCATCTTTCAAGAAAATTGTCGTCAAGTCACGAACTTTCTTGTAGTTTCCTGCAAGTACGTGACATTCCCATCTGTACGGGATAATACAAATATTCTTCTTACAAGAGACATGTTGATTACTGACTGTGTTCCAAACAGCTGCAATCTAGGTTCCCAGTACAATACTACACAAATACTTTCTCTAGTTATCAGCTGCGACAGGCCCCGGGCATTTGACAAAATAATTTATTTTAAATAAGGTCACATTTTAATTGTTTTTAATGAAAGCAAAAATAATATTAAAAATGATATCAAGAATATTAGTATAATTTAACATCACAAAATATAACTATCTTGGAATTGTGTTCACTTTAATTGTGACAATGTGCTTGTTAAGCATTTTCTTACTGTTCTAAAGTATATTGTTTAAATACAGAACCGAAGTCCCAAGTTCTATTTGAATATCTTCATTTAGTCGAAGTAAAACGTCAGTCTTTATATATTGGAAGAACCTGAAATGATTACAGTTGCATTATAAATAAACTAGATCAAGTAAGAAACAGCACTAAAACATCTACAATTTAACATAACCACTAAAGAGTTACTACATTTAGAACTTTATGAAATTGCATAGTTTTTACCCAGAGTATGTAATCCCTTCAACTTGAAATAGTCAGAAAATAAAATGTTAAACCACTAACGTTCTTGATGAGTTTGTAAGAATTTCTCACTATCAAAACCGTCACATCTTTGGGATTAGTTAAATTTGGAAGCTGAATCTGTCACTTTTAACAAATTATTATTCGTTAACAATATTTATTCTTTATCCCGAAAGCTAGAGTTTATCCGAGGTAAAGACTTGCCTTAAATAGTCTTTATCTCGAGTATCTCCTTAAATTACTCGTCACTGTCAACTTATTATTATTACTAGTGTAACCCGGCCTTCGGCCGGGATTTCACTGCCGCAGTTAAAAAGGGTAAGAGCATTTACCCGTTGAGTCAGAACCCGCATTAGGTGAGTAATTCTATTCGGAGTGCCCTCACGTTAGTATCCAATGGTATCTTAAACAATAGTAATAGTATCTTAAACAATAATCAATAGAAATTAACCCTTAACACCACACCCGCCTATCATATTTGTGAACACGCATAACATTGCCGTATGAAAGATTGAAAGTATGAACTCTCTCTCTGCAGTCCAAACAGTGCCCCCTCCCCTAATAAGATTATAGTATAGACAGCGAATCTTACCCGGGTAAATCAATTACACTAATTATGCAGCTACATATATATATGCGAGCCGGGTCACGAAATCCTCTCCGAACCTCCACGTGGTGTGGCCTGGTTGGCACTAACGGGTGGTGTGCTCTCTTGTTGAGTACAAAGGTTGGGACTTGCCAACTCAAAGTTCCCATAGGAACCAGGAAGTCAACACTAACAGCTACCAAGCACCAGGAAATTTCTCTTTCAGATATCAGGTTACAAGATAGTACACACACAAACGACGATACGTTAGACACAGATACATAGCTCTAAGAGCTATTAAATCACCAGGAAATTCTCTTTCAGCTTTCAGGTCCCATCGAAGTCACCCACCACAGAGCTAGGGATTCCAATTTGCTCATCCTGACTACAAGGACACACTGATAATGAGTAGTCTTGGCACTTCTCCCTCCAGTAACCACTTTTCAGGTCTTTTCAGTTAAGACAGCTAATGCGTTAGGGCTGACACACGCTAGACACAGGCTCGTGATAAGACAGTGTTAGGGATGTCAACTCTGACTACGAGGACACACTGATAGCGAGAATTCCTGGCACTTCTTCCTCCAGTAACCACTTTTCAGGGGACCGGGTTAACTTTGCCACACTCTTCATTGAAATGTGACTGGACGCTCTACAGTCTACAATCATCTAGTAGCCAGCAGTGTTTGACTGACACCCCTACTGCAACTGGTTCTATTCAGTTCTACAGCGGAAGTTCTCAACACTCGAAAACAGTTCATCTCGGACATCCTGCAGAGATGCTTTTTCACAGCCTGCCCCATTACACGGGGAACCCTTAGATCTACAGTACCCTGGTGGACAGTATAGCTCACTAAAGCATAGTGGACCTCTTTAGTTCTGAGACGCAAAGCTAACCGGACCAGGAATAAACATCATTGCGTTTAACGATTTACTCTAACTTTTGATTCATTTTTTAGCTCGACGATACATGGTATCATTTCAGGACAGATATTCCTTCTTCAGGTTCATTGAGGAAATCGTACCCGCTATTTGCGTTATACAATGGCAAGTATCTGGACTAATGATAACTTAGGATCTCAGATTCCCAGGCTGCATTTATAGCGCTTAACAGCACCAGTTTTAACTCCAGGTTCGTTCTGAACATCTCAGACCAACTCAACTCACTAGGTATTCTCATCGAGTAGAACTTCGTTCCAGGACATGAAGGAGTATACGGTAAAGAACTAGCGGACGAATTCGCAAGGGACGATCAATCCAACAACATCCCCATCGGACCAGAACCGTTCCTCCCAATTAGGCCACACTCAGTGACAAAGAAACATTCCACTTGAGATGTTCCTCCACAAATATAAATACAGGAACTTTAATTTTTCTGGAACTCACATCAGATGGCTTACATGGTCGCTTTCAGGATAGGTCACAGCCGCCCACTAGTTTATTTTCAGAACGTGGCAAACAACGTCAACTTCGAGACGCAAGATTGTGAACACTTTTCAGGAGAAGCAGAAACATCCCAGCACCTCCTCTGCAAGTGCATCCAGATCATGACGTTCAGAATGAGGATAATTGGTAAACTCTACCTTAAAAACAGTAATCTTCAATCATATCTTCAAATTTGTGGAACAGTCGACAAGACTGGATAGGGAAAACCCTTTTGGGTAACCTCCTAGGATTCTTCACCAGGAACTTTCGCTAAATCCCATACTAGGAACTCAACCTAGGCCCATCTCCGCATAGAGACATATCTCCCAGGCTTTGACCTTGCTCGGAAGTCCCTTGTCTGCCCGCAGAAGTACTACAACGGAAGTGGGTTTGCTCTGAGACAGGTAGTGACAGCTTCAAGACTCCAGGGGTCTGTTGCATTGATATTTATTATTTTATGATTTCGTATATACTTTGGGAGTCCTGGCGTGCAGCTAGCAGGAGTTGCATTCTGTGGGCACGGTGAGAAGGCCTCCATCTTTTAGTAAGAGGCCAGAAACCGTTGACCAGAACAGAGAGAGAGACAGAGAGATATATGCGAGCCCCGTAACTCTTACCGTTCTGCTCAAACCATTTTATGTAACATTTGTGGTACAAAACCATCAATTAAACCACCTACCAACGACCGATTTAAAAAACCTTTATCATTTAACTTCGTCAGAGTTTTGTCGGCACTTTACCGAAAAAATCAGTCCCGCAACTCTTACCGTTTTCTTGATTAAGCTGCTCGGAAATTACAAACAGACAGACAGACACACATTCTGGGATTATTAGTTAGATTATATGTTGTCTCCTTAAAAAAGCTTCTCAACTTGATGTTATAAGATGACAGAAACTCTAACTGATTAATATATCAGCAAGTATTTATATTACCTATTTGCCTGCAGTCCGGTTGTTTATCAGAACTGAACTTGTCCCCACTGACACATGTCACGTGATTCCCTCCCAGTTGGAATGTTCCTCCAAAACACGTGACCTTTAACACAGTGCCCTCAAATGCCGGGAGGGAGGCAATGCTCATGTTCGGGAGGTCTGCTGTGTTAAACCCCGTACACTCTGACGGATAATGGATTATTTGGGGTTATTTATATCGGCAGTGATTAAATCAACTTTGTAGACAAATCAAAATAGGAAGACGGTAGATGCAGGATCTGAAACTTAAAGTAAAAGTGGCAGCACCAACTCACGAAGTGCACAGTCAGGTTTCTCTTCAAACTGCCATTGGTCCCCAGTTACACACGTGACCTCACTGCTTCCTTTGTTAACTCTCGGTTCTTCACACTCCACCGTTACTTTAGTTCCAGCGTCTATTTCCTCTTCAAGGCTCATTGGTTTTACAAGGTTCCAGTCGCTTGGGTACGCAATGCATGGACCTGAAATTAATTGTTCTTCATACATATCCTGGGTGTCTCATAATGGTGTAATGGACGATTGAAAAATTGACTGTAAAGAGAAGAGAGACAGCACTCCCCTCCCCCTTAGTTACCTGGTCGCAATCGGAAACGTTTGGATATGTCGTCTTTATTCCCGAACTCAATCTTTCTTGTGTCACGAACACTATTCATGAGGCAAGGATCTTGGTAATATTTAATCAATTCTCCGTTGAGGGAGAACTTTATCTTTGTTGTATCCACATCTATAGTCCATATCCCGCTGCCTCTGTTCTTGATTGGCAGTGCAATAACAGCACATGATGTTGTTGTCAGAGTTTGTGCGACCACTTCTATTGCTATTTGATCAATATGGACATTACCAGCATCTTTCAGCATAAAAACCAGATCGTTTCCATTATCTGTCCACTCTGTTTCAATTTGCAAAGTATAGGGGATCTCTGGTAAAGATATGGTTATATCCGACTTTTCTTGCCACTCTGAAGATATTTTTAATTGAAAAGTGAAAAGTAATATTATGTACAGAATGATATAGAATAAGATAAGTCTTTATTTCAAGGGGTGGTACTGTCAAATTTTGTCGAAAACGATAATGTTTAAAGATAATAACAAACAGATGTCTGACCCGTCGTAGCGACTAAACATTCACTGAGTCTGACGCTGCTTAGCAGAGCTAATAGTATTCCCCACATCGCTTTCATTTCAACATCACACCTTTGCTAAATATGTAAGTCTTTGGTTAGGAAATGACTCACAAAACCGAATGAACAAGAAAACATAATCTCTGAGACCAGAACGCAATATAAATGGCATATGCACGACTAAATATAAATAACTGACAAAACCTGAAATATAAGCTATTCAATTACTATTAGGTTGGTGGCATCCAGTCAGCTAAAAATATAAGCTCATCTTAAAGCAGTTGCGGTCAAATAAGCCACAAATTGAATGATGAGACCGTTATTATATTTTGAACAAAATGAACTCACTGTGGTCGGAAAAATTGTACAAATCTTTCTAGGAATGTCAGTTAGAGCCATTGCATATTTCAGATTACTGATCATATCTCAATAAACCACGTATTTACGATCTAACTGAAAGATTCCTGACCTATCTACTTACAACACTGAACAATATTACAGTATCTGTAAAATTACAGTCTAATATTACAGTCTACAATGTAGACTCTACAATCTACATCACCTCAACTCCGCTCTCTGAAGTTTGCCCTCATGAAATATCGAACAATGGGTTTTCAGGTTGCTCCGTCTGTGAGTCTGTGAGTGATGTTTATAACGCCTGTCTTCTAACCCAGAGCATTACTTTGCAAAGTAATAAAAACTTTGAAAGCCGTGGTGACTGGTGATCAATGACCACTGGTGATCAATGACCACTGGTGATCAATGACCACTGGTGATCAATGACCACTGGTGATCAATGACCACTGGTGATCAATGACCACTGGTGAGTGTCCATGGACCGTAATCGTATATTAATAACACAGTTAAACACACGTCAGATCACAAACAGCACTCCATGCGACTGAGTAGTTAAACTCATTGTCCAACTTCCGGGTACAAGGATATTGTGTTGTTGTTGGGAGGGTGGGGTTATAATATCTCCTGTTAGAGGTCTAATTATTCACTTAATATCCAGTATTGGAGGTGTGTTTAATCGATTAGTGGCGCAGAAAGCGTAGAAAGTAAAACATGTTGAGAGTACTCGATTAGACCACTTGGTTCCTTATAAAGTTATAATAACCATCTATAAGCAACAGATGAGCTATTTCCGATAACTCCGTTAACTCATATGTAGTGGATAATAAGTAGCAGTTTGTTTCTATCTAAATTATTAAACAGACAATAAGGTTCAATACCTTTATCTTAAGGGGGCCGGGGGGGGGGGGGGGGGGGGGTCTTCATCAAGGGGACTCCTCAGAAATGAAGGGTACTAACATTCTAGCTGACGTAAATATGCGAGCCACTGCGATTAGTGTGACTCGCGGCTCACTGGCAGGAGACACCATGATACCCCTGATAAAGATGGGTTCAGACTCAGGATCTGAGCTTCTAAGGATCTAGTTAGGCTACTAACCGGCTGATCTGTCATCTCTTGTCTGATGGGCTGAAGGCTCAGTTAACTTAACCAAAGAGACCGCTTTTCTCAGAGACCAAACAAAGTTGTACCGGTACGAACATGAACATTAAACTATTTCTAAATTCAGACAGTGCATAAACGAACAAAGTAGCCTAAATCTAATATTTTACGTGTTATTTTCAGTGCCACACCCAGTTATCCTGCGTAACCACGTGTTAGTTATGGAGTTTGTGGGGAGTAACGGCTGGCCGGCCCCCCTGCTCAAGGACGTGAAACTGAACGAGTCTAAAGCCAGGGAGCTATACCTGTCTGCTATTAAAATAGTGAGGGACATCTACCAGAAGGCGCTGCTGGTACACGCGGATCTGAGCGAGTTCAACATCTTGTTTAATGACGGTGAGTTTATTTATAGCTACACTTAAACTACTGTGATAACAAGACAGTCATTAGTAGTCATTAGTAGTCATGCTATCTAGTCACGTGACAGCTAAAGAGGTATTGTCTAGCGGTTTTGTATTAGTCGTTAGTAAGAGCACGGCTGTGATAGATATAACTCTATAAGATAAGAGTACCTTATCCACACTTACCAAGTAGAATCTAAAATATATGTAAACAAATATTTTGTTACCCAAGAAGTTGAGGTTAATACTCTTAAATTTACCTTGGGGGGGGGGGGGGGGCCAATGGCATAAATGGAGAAAATGGAGAATTACTCATAGGTTTTTCCATTTTCTCCATAGAAATAGTCTCCATTTTATGCCATTTTATGCCATTTTATGCCATTGAAAACCTGAAAAATTTAGAATTTCGAGAAAAATTATTTAAAAAAAAGATATTTTCGGCCAATAATGAACAGAGTATCATGAAACATGGAGAAAAGTGGTTTTCAGAAAAACCCTTTGCAACACGAGCTGGGAATCGGGAGCTCTCGATACGAGAGGTACGTATCGTAAATGACTCGGACCGAACATTTTCTAAGTCAACATTTTTCAAAGTTTTTCTAAAAACCACTTTTCTCCACGTTTCATGCTACCCTCTTCATTATAAGCCGAAAATATTTTTTGGTTTTTCGGTTTATCGAAGTCTGCACCTACCCCTCGATACACAAATTTGGACTCGAGGCTTCCCCCTGGTAATGCGATCTCGGAAGGCAGGCCTCCCCTTTGCAGTGCGAGCTTGTTTCGACTGTCGAGGATGCAGGTCTCACTTCTCAGTGCCTATTACTCTCCCCTATTACTCACTCCTGCTGTAGCCTGTAGAAATAACTTTACACTAGGCTTGAGTAATTATGAGTTTGCCTGAAGTGTGCCTCTACTAACCTAGTATAAGCATCTAGTAGCCTACTATGAGCTTTCATAAGCTTGTTACGCCCCTAGTAAGCGTAAATAAACATGGTAGGATGTCCAATTTAGGTGTTAAATGGTGTTAAAGATGAAATTTCGAAGACAAAATTCATGGCATAAAATGGAGAAAATGGAGAATTACTCATGGGTTTTTCCATTTTTTCCATAGAAAAAGTCTCCATTTTATGCCATTTTATGCCATTTTATGCCATTGGCCCCCCCCCCCCTTTACCTTACACTAAGTATAAAATAAATAAGAAGTAAGCTCACAATGGAAGTACTAGCTGTAACTAGCCCACATGGGAAGGTCCTGACTTGTGTCACGTGATATAATAACAGCGTGTCTACTTGGTGTGTACTCTTTATAACCAAACAATGGGAACACTCTCTGTAATTATAGTAGCGTTCTATTGAGAGTGTCAGAGAACTATAATTCGGAAGAAAGTGTTATAAAACAAGTTGCTCACATAATGACGTCACACGATGACGACATGATGACGACAAATAAGGTTGAACTGAGTATATTTGCAGGAGAGCTGAGGATAATAGACGTGTCTCAAGCAGTGGAACACGACCATCCCTCAGCTCTGGAGTTCCTGAGGAAAGACTGTTCTAATATTACTGGTAATTTCCTTTTTATTAGAGTTTAGAAAAGTCAGGGAAAGTTACCATGATTGCAAATCTGAAAGTTATAAGTTACTCAACACTACTAGTGTCTCACAGCCCCCCGGCCCCCCTCCCTACAGCCCCCCGGCCCCCCTCCTCCCCCCTCCCACCCCACCCTGCCCCCCCCCCTTATATGCGATGTTTCAGATTTCTTTAAGAAGTTCGGAGTACCGGTTATGTCAGTAAAAGCGTTGTTTAACTTTGTTACTGACAAGTCAATTACTGACGAGAACATTGAACATTACCTAGACACTGCAGAGGAGATAGCTTTACAGGGTTAGTCATACTAGCAGTTATTTTTATAATTCGTTCATTGGAGCACAAATAGTGGAGAAAATACCAACATTCCTACATAGTGAGATGTACCTATTGCATTGTATATGTACCATGTACATTGTATTGTACCTCCACTTCTATTGCACAGGTCAAGAGGAAGAGGAAGATACTGTCGACGCAGAGGTTTTCAAGAAGTCCTACATTCCAAGAGTGTTAGACGACGTCAAGAACTTTGAACAAGATCTCTCCAAGGTATATTACTAGGTACCTTTACAAGGTATTTACTTATTTACTATAGCCAGAGCATAGGTATTTTACTAGGTACCTTAACAAGGTATTTACTTATTTACTATAGCCAGAGCATAGGGAGTTACCTCCCAAATACAGCAGCCCTTTTCAACATTATTTCTGAGCTAAACCGATTACGCAATAACGTAATAATGGCAAAATTATGTTCTCACCAAAATATATCCAAAACAACTGATGGATAGCATTGAGAAACAGAAGATTGAACAACTAAACAACTAAACAACTAAACAACTAAACAACTGAACAACTAAACAACTAAACAACTGAACAACTAAACAGCTAAACAACTAAACAACTAAACAACTAAACAACTGTCCGCAGATTAAGTCAGGGGAGGGTAAGGAGGTGCTGTACAGAGAGGTTATAGGGATGTCTAACGACATGAGGACTGGATCTACACAGCCAAGGTACTGTTGCTACTACTAATAACTGTTTATATTAACAACTGTCACTGTGCCACAATGGTGCCTGATAATTTTATCGGGCGAGCCAAATGTTACGCCACTGGTCATTGTCCGACTAACAATAAGGGCCTCGTCAGTCGTCGTTAGTTTTAACGTATTCTTGAAGAACAAATATCTGTGTTAACTTTAAAGGAGCTCACATTTTTTGTCGTGAGAGGAACAAAATCAAGTCGACTGTAAACGGTAAAGGACTAATTAAAACTGCCAACAACTCCACGCAGCTGGGACACGATACCGTCTGGTTCTATAATTCAGATTACAGGAACAAGCTGCAGCCTGTAGTCGTTTACCCACACCTGTATTTGTAGGCTAGCTGATGGGTTTAGTTTCAGTCCTATCAAACAACAAAATCAATAGACATGATTAAAACGTTAGAAATCTTATGTCTCAACTTGTTAAGTGCCAAGAGATTTAGTAAAGTCATGAATTAAAGTTAGAACAGCCTAGCTATGATGTTTTAGAGTTACCGTGTGTATCATTAACATTAACATGGGCCAGATGTTACCAGATTCGCTAGAGATTACAAACTTTCTGTATATACGTATAATAAGACGAAGGGTCGCGAAACAGTCGCACCTGTATCATCGTGGGGGCACGATGTAATTTGTTGTAAAAATGACAAATTGTCTGGTGTTGAAACTTTAAACTTTTCAGATTATTGGAGACAAATGATTCAGAGAATGAAGAAGAATCAGACTCCGAGGAGGAGTGTGAAGAACAGAACATGGGTATGTTTATTGTTATTGTATTCTCGCCTGTTTTAGAAAACTTGAATGCTATTTTTGTTTCAGATAAGCCTCAATATTAACCTCGTGAACACCGGTTTGAAATAACACGTACAGCAGGGTGCCAGAATTATTTTCCTGTTTGAAGTTTTATTTGCATTTCATAATGAAATCAATATTTTTCAACGGGTCATAACTTTACTTCTGAATATCGAGATTCATAAACTGGTTTGTAGACAATCGTTTGAACTTTTTCTTGGTTTCAGAATTTTGTGTTGTTGTACCTAACAACCCATAATTTAGGCCGTTCGCGTTATTGAAATTGTCGATTCCAAACTTGGTTAAATTTATGAAGGAGTAAGGGATTTATGTACGTCGTACAGATATAGAATCAAATTGTCACATAAAGTTTGTCGTATTCTGGGCTACTTTATGATATGATAACAGAAAAGTAACAAGTAGTGCCTTAGCCAGAGTAATATATCACGCAAATGTAATCAGAGATTGCAACAAGAACCCGTGGTGTCCCCTGATAACCGTGGTGTGTATAAAGGGGCTAGTCTGTGGTAGTTTAGTTACTTGTTCAACATGCTTGTTATTATCCTAGCCTGTCTGGTTGGCTCAGCCCTCAGTCGAGGTGATCCTGAGTTGGAGCTCCCAACTCCTGGTCTTATAGAGTTCTGGGGATATCCGGCTGAGAGCCACTGGGTCACCACTGAAGACGGCTACATCTTAGAAATGCACAGAATCCCTCACGGTATAAACTACAAACAACACTCCGTGCCTAAACCTGTGGTGCTGCTGCAGCACGGACTCGAAGACTCTAGTGCTACCTGGGTCATTAACAGCCCTGAGGAGAGTCTGGGCTTCATGATGGCAGACGCGGGGTTTGATGTCTGGATGGGGAACATCCGGGGTAACACCTACTCCAAGGACCACACTACACTCGACCACAGGAGTGCTCCCTTCTGGAAGTTTAGTTTTGACGAGATGGCCCTGGTGGATCTACCTACCATGATAAACTACGTTCTTAATACCACCAATGCTAAAACCCTCTCCTACTTCGGGCACTCTCAGGGCACTTTGATGGGATTTCTGGGGTTCTCCCAAAACCAGCAGCTAGCTAGTAAAGTTAATGTGTTCGGGGCCCTGGCCCCAGTAGCGCGGATTACACATGTGGAGGGTATGATGAGAGCACTGAGCATTGTGGCCCCAGAGATAGAGAAACTAGTGGATATCTTTGGAGTGAACGAGTTTGCAGTTCCCACCTGGCTAATGGAGACGTTAGTGACGATGGTGTGTCCCCGTGCTAAACACACCCTCTGTGAGAATATCATCTTCCTGGGGTGTGGCTTTGACACTTCTAACATGAACGCAACTAGAGTCCCCAGATACGCGGGACACTGTCCTGCTGGCACCAGCTCTCGGAACATCATACACTGGGCTCAACTCCTCAGAGACAGACAACTCCAGAAGTACGACTACGGAACCCCGGAACTAAACATGAAGCAGTACAACTCCACCACACCACCCAAATACGAAATATCTGCTCTGTCCGTCCCAACTGCTCTGTTCGCGGGAGGGAACGACTTTCTGGCAGATCCACGCGATGTAGTGTGGCTGGAGGGACAGTTGAAACCGGGAGTGATCATCAAGAATGTCTTTTACGACGACTACAATCACCTTGATTTTGTGTGGGGTCTTGACGCTAATCGGCGGGTTAATGACCACCTTATCTCCCTTGTCCGCAGTGTGCAGCATTAGTCAGGTTGGTTGTAGACTGGTAGTTCCCACTAACTTTGAAGTTGTAGTTATTTCACCAATATTCAATTTTTACAGCGCGAAACTAAATTCCTTTCTTTTCAGAGGTAGATGATCCAGATGAAAAAGACATGGAGGAAGAAGAGGCGGACAATACTCTTCACAACACCTGCCATAAGAAACTCAGTAAAGAGGAAAACAAGGACCGGAGAAAACAGTTTAAAATAGCCAAGGCTGAAAACCGGACACTCAAAACCCCCAAACATCTGAAAAAGGCCAGGGATAAAAAGTACAAAAGTAAAAAGTAGTTTTATTTTATTGTTCTGCTGAGGATGGGGTATGACACGAGTTTTTATCTTGTTTATTTTATCTGGTTATTTATTTTATCCTAGAGAAGGAATGCTTTTGACTATTGTTCGTGATGGAATTCGTAAGTGATCGGACAGAATATCCTAGTGTAAATAACCGCTCTTTCGGCCGAATCAGTCTCCGCGAACAATCTTCCCTCTTTTGGGATAACTTGCCACGTAAAGAATGTAAGAAGTGGGGTGCTATTATTTACGAAATGCTGATCCGACTTCCGGCTAATGACTACCCAGATACAAAGCATACGTGTCAAATGTGTAGTGTTCTCTGGTGATGTGAAGTCTCTGAATCCTAGAACCACTTTGGCAAACATGTGACAGTTGACACCATGAGAAAATAAATTCCTCAAACTCAGGTCCCAACTTTCATAGGTTCATTAGTGGTCATGCAATTCAAATGTCCGAGCCGTTGTGCACTAGTTGGTCACTATAGTAACGTCTTCCAAATATGGAAATTTCGCGCGGCTTAAATTACAGTTGAGCGCAACGATTCGTCAATTTTGGAGAGAGCGGCTTACAGCACTGATTATATGTAGACCTCGAAAGTTAAGAAGTGGAGAGCTCAAATTGTAATGATCTGCAAGCAGTGGCGTAACGAAGGGCCCCGCTGGGCGCTGACCCCGCTGTGCAGGGGGGCGCCAAATCGTCGTTTGAATGTGGGACAATTTCGAAAACTTAACTAAAGTACTAGCAAAACTGCGCGTTTTGCTCTAGATACACACTTTTTTAGAGATTTTACCGGCTCATCCTCTAAAATCACCTAATTTGTTCAATTTTAGGGAGGGGCACCAAAAGGGGAGGGGGCGCCAACAGGGGGGCGCCAACAGGGGGGCGCCTTTACGGCGGGGGGGGGGGGGGGGGGCGCCAACAGGCAACGTTACGCCACTGTCTGCAAGTTCTAATGAAAAATGAGAAAATAAAATCTTTTACTTGTTTTCTTAACTCAAATTCAGCTGCAATAATACATAAATAGATAAATGAAATATAAACATTAACAAACTGATCTGTACACTTATACTGTAAACGATGAAAATTCACGATAAAATTATCCAGTGGTGCTCAAAACTTATCATTAGGTCAAAGCAAATAAAATGTCTGATAATGTTATGATAAAGTTGTGTATCTAAAAAAGAACCCAAACTAGCTCTCGCGCCACTAAATGACGAAAGTTTACTCAATAATAAAACAGCGCTCCTGCCGTTTGTTCCATAAAATGCCACTAAGGAAGGAGATAATATACTCTTATACTGGAGTCTCACACTTCCTACAATTTCCAAGAGTTCCTCATCATCAAGTCGAAGTAAGCGTCGTTATCAATACTAGCACTAACTCCCGAGTAGTAGTTCATGAACTCTTCTTTAGTTACCTACAAGTTGTACATTTGTTATATGCAAATATATGCAAATATCCGTCCGTGAAGTTTATTAATATCACCCCCAGTTCTAGGAAACAATAGCCAAAGAATAGAAGTTTGAACTGTTGTATTCACGTTGCGTACAATCCCATATTAGGTATAATTACCGGAGCTAACTGGTTCTGACTGTGCACCATTATGAAAAGAAGTTGGTCTCTTCTCATCAAGAGTACACGATTTTCTGATAAAATTAAGAAACTTACCAGTCCGTCAGACTCGTTAGGAGTATCGTATGAAGAAAGGAATTTCAGGAACACTTGTTCTTCAGTCCACTCTCCAGAGATGTATTTAGGATGCTTCGTTACATCATAAACTCTGAAAAAAATAGATAATAAGTCTTTTCGAATGAAATTGAAGAATAGAAACAAGTTGTTTTTTATCAAAACTCCTATCGTTGGATTTCTTTGACAATCTTTAACTCGTTCTGCGAGTATTACCCCTGTATTACCCCTGTATTACCCCTGTATTACCCCTGTATTACCCCTGTATTACCCCTGTATTACCATGTTTAGGGTAGTAATAGTATTTACCCTTTCAGATCATCCACAGTGATAACCCCATCTCCGGTTTTATCTAACTTATTGAACGCTTTCAGTACCAACTCTCTTCTGCCTTTGTTCATAGGCGGCTGAAATACTTTAAATTGAAGAGCTTTGCTTTTATTAACTGTTTAAAATGTAATAAATGTTGCATTGCCAGCCAGAAAATATGAACAACAAACATGCAGCTGATACATAAACAATTTGTTAGCATTTTTAAAGTAAGTTTAGCCTGTAATCTACCACACGAATGTATTGTAGTTTTGTCAGTTCTACAAATTCATTAGAATTGTACATTCATTGCAAGGCATGAGAGGTATAGAATTGATATTCAGCTGCATTTTAAATAACAGCTTGAAGAGAACACAATGGGCCTTGCACTGAAATCCGGTCAAATGTTTTGAATTCCAGCATGCATAACATGCAGTGCAGCTTTATTGGAAGCCACCTGCTCTCTTTAAAAAGCTTGCTCTCTCTCTCTCTTATTGATATTAGGTGCAGCACTCAGCAGTCTTTACTCGACATTATAGAGTGAAATGTAATAGAGAGTACTGTATCGATTTTTTTTATCAGTGTAAATAAGTAGTAGACAATGCTAGGAATGTTGTATAAAACATGCATCCTGCTTACTATTGCAGTAGAGTGTAAGTCAGGCACCATTAGGAGGTAATTATAGGTAATTTTAGGTAATGAGATAAGCACGCCAGTAAGTCTACACTACAAGTCCAGAAACTGCACGTGTGTGTAACAGGACAGCAGATAAAGGATCCAAGTGTAATACCACTAGTTAGGATCTCTAATGTAGTTTAATGGTAGTGTTAATATGACTATTTGATCCAGGGGTTACATTTGTATTATATTGTACAGCCGGCTAGCAGAGTTAGTAAGATATAGTTCCCTAAACCTAGGACTAATGTAACATAGCAGTGAACCGTGTGTTTCGTATAAAATAACAAAGGTTAATCTTGAAGAATGTACGAGGCAGGGTGGCAGGGTATGTAGCCCTAAAACTTTGCAATTCATTATCTGAGTCAGCTATTTTTAAGGTCAAGAAAAAGGAGTTGGTCTTCAGAGTCTAACATGCTGCTTTAAATTCAAACTCTCTGATTTGTCATATATAATGCAAGTTCTTGCCCCATAAGGCATCAGAGCATAAGGAATAAGTTCTAAAAGGAGCATGCGTTGCAGTTCAGCAAAATTATTATCAACCATTTGTCTGATTTCTAGCATCTGGCAAAGCGGATTACCCTGAGATGTCTTAGAAATTCGTCAAAGTCAATGTATCCGCTGCGATCCATATCAATCGTAGTAAATAAGTCTTTAATCTCCTGATATAAAAACAATAAACACATACACCGATAAACAACAAAATTACCACCCGGCCAATAAACGGCTTAGGTGATCTAGTCATTGCACTTTTAACAACCAAGATGGTTTTATATTGACACAGACTTAATGCTTTTTTCCCAATATTTTTAAGGGGGATGTCCGAAATGGTTGAATAATTGGAGCAAATGGTCGTTAATGATCGTTTTGTATTATTTAAGAATTGATTTAAAACATTTTTTATGAAGTTCAAAGCCCTTCAATTCACTGAAACTTTTCTTCTGAAAACAAGACCATCAAGACCATGTTCGTCTTCAGTAAAAATTTGATGAACCCTTTTAGTTGATGAAAGTGCAATGACTAAAACATGTATTTATTTACCCTGACGTTGGACAAAAACTCTTCAAAGCAAATTGATCCAGAGTTATCTTTGTCAATCGTTTTGAATAGATCTTGCAATTCCTGTAAGACTTCTACGATAAAAACTTGAAATGCAGGCAAAATAAATTGCATCAGATATTTTTAAACCGTCTATATTTCAGACAACCATTCTTGATCGAATTAAAGGTACTCACCTCGTTTTCTAGCACTAAACCGTAGTCACTTATACCCTTTTTAAATTCGCTCATATCTAATCTTTTGTTGGAATCATCGTCCATTATTCTGAATGCTCTGGGAAAAGAATAGATGTTACTGTAATGAAGATTGTGGTTAGGGCTAAGAAAAGTTAGGGCTAAGACAAGAATAAAATCTGAAACTTTGAATAGTGGGGTCGAGTAAGGACTGTAAGAATAATTGGTATTTAACACTGTAAAGGGCAGAAAATTTCCGCATTTTGATTCTGTTTGATTCTGATAAAAATAACGAACAGACGGACTGAGCTTACCTGCCAAGACCTTTGATTCCAGCGGCACCTCTGGAGAGACATTGTAGTCGCAGCATCTCCACAGGGTCTTTAACACCACTCCTCAGCGCACGACTGGCTTTCTGTCTCATATCCTGCTCGTGTCGCTCTGTTGAAGCCATTCTAGATGCTGGCACATTTTCAGTTGTTAAAATGGTGGCTGCTTAAGCTGCTTAATTTAACAAATAGTTTTGACAAAAAAGCATAATGACGGGTCCAGGACTTGTCGCAGTGAGACTCGTGAGACTCATCTCACGCCGACAAGTCAAGACCACCTTATGACCTTCACAAATATAGCAATGAAAGTTATTATTGAATATGGTAAACACTAAACAACTTTTCTTATATTATAATCCTCAAACATTGTCTCGTACAATTACTACACGTATAACATGAATCCTGTGATGGCGTGTCTATTATTATCATTACTAATGTAATCTATATTAGTCCTCAGTTTACATTTACCTCAGCATGGAAAACTTTGAGAACAATGCTATATTATTATATCATTTCTAGTTGTACTATTAATTATAATGTTAGTCCTGAGTTTACGTACACCAGCAACATTTGTAAGAGCAAGAAATGATGCTCCATATAAGTTCCCTAACACATTAAATGAGCTAAACTCTAATGAATTCTAATGACCCCCCCCCCCCCCAATGAACTAAATTGTACACTAAATTACAAGCTAATTTAGTATTAAAAGCAAACACCATGGCTTTATAACTACAAGCAACTATCGTTTTGGTTGTTTTTTGCAGCTCATAAAAATAATTTGCCTCAAATATTTGAAGAGAAAGTAACGTATTTTTCTACTCTTGTCCTATACAAAATTTACAACATCGAAACATTTGATCAAGAAATGCTAACTTGCGCTCAGGGGATTGATTTAGGGCATTGTCAATGGAATTCTATTGTTCTTAAAGTTGTTATTTCAGGAATTCGTCAGATCATTGTTAATCCATTAGCTGGCACGAAGAACTATTTGTGTAAGAATTCTGTCCCTCAATTCCTCAAGTCTCCTGGGATGTGCAATTATTCAACAAGGGCAAGTGAAAGAATAGTATTAATTGTTAACAGTTTGTTATTGTTCAGAGTTCACCCAGGTTCCACAGAGTATTGATTGAGCTTCCCAAACAATAAAGCTATTACATTTGAAGTTTCACCAGTGCCATTGATGAGGCTCTGCTATGCTGAACTACTCCATAGTTTTTGAGTCAATCAACTGTAACCCTTGGATCACAACATCAATTAATTGTGTGAAGTGTCCTGGTATAAAACTTATCTGAGTGACTGTATTAAAATAACTTGAGGAGAGCTCTCTTAAAACAATAGGGATAAATACTAGGACCTACTAAAATCAAAACAAAATGCAGCCATCTAAAATGTTGTTAAGCTTTCTCTTCTCCTATGATTGACTAGAGAAGTACCATCTTTGGCGAGTATTAGAAACTTAGACCTTTACAAATTCCGTGCTTTAAGTTTGCAAGGCATGTGGACCAAGTGGGTCGAGAGTACTCAACTTGGAAGTGAAAGGCTGACGTGATCTGATATCTGTGATAGCTTATAGATATGACAGGTCCCAAGGTTTCGATCTCAGGGTCCAATAGCAGATTCCGAGATCACAATCCAGGTGTTCAGGTGAGTCCTCAGGTTTAGATCTCGAGGCTGGACAATTTGTCTCAAGATCTGGTCATACTTAGAGAATATAACCAACATCTGATAAATAAATAAAACTCCTACTGTGTTTGAGTTATTACATGAAGTGTTAACAAAAAGCAGCACACAAAAAACATTCATTAGTCGAATTTCTTTGGGGACAAAACGATGCTCTCCAGGATTTATCCGACTAGAAAGATCATGAAATAAAGACTCTGCAAACATCTCAGAGAAATTTTACCACCATAAAGAACAAAGAGGGAGTATCCTGGACCCCGAAATCTACCACTTTTCTGTACTTTCAGAGGTACCAATGTGGCAGGAAACCAGGGCTGCTGCTGAGCTAAAGCAGTAGAGGGGATGGCGGCTTCTCTAGGATCTAACACGTCCTGAAGCAGACCAACACTATGTCCCAACGCACTGGTGTTGGGATGTCTGCCCCCGGTGCCTGTCCGGGTCAATAAAGCAGTCTAGCATCATGTATGTTATGTTGAGCATTCTCAACCAATAAATGTGGGAACTCCCACGAAAGACCATTAAACAGATCTAAAGAGACACCTAACAACATTGGAAAATAGACTACAATTTGTTTATATAATTTATAAAGCGTATATTATTGCCCACGTTAAGGGGCCTGTTAATAATTTATTAAATTATTAGCTATTTTAGATTTAATAATAATGAGTTATTACAAGGTGCAAAATAACCCCCTTACAAAGTGGCTTTTAAGGGGGCACAGATCTATTTTTATTCAAATTACTATTCCAGTAAATGAAACTTGTTCAGTTAATTGAATTTTAAATAGCATGTGTTGGTATTTTGTATTTAAGAAAAGGATATGGTGAATTTTAAAACATTGTATCGACTGACTCCTATGTTTATACCTGATTGCCAGAGGCAAAATATCAACATCTGCTATTATATATATATATTGGATCCTTGATTCACGATTTCAATACTTCACAGCTCGGCGAGGCTCAGTGGTGCATTTCACTACAATCTCCGATTTTGATAAATTTGGTACCAAAAGTTGCTTATTATTATAAGTGTGAATAATATTAAATATTTAATACATAATACAAGTTATTCCGATGCAGCGTGTAACCTGGTATGGCCATGGGGACCAAGCTCAAGGCTTTTATATTTATGTTCATTATCATCCCCGAATGAAGATTTGGCGAGATGACACCCTGAGCGCCGCCCAGTAATACACCGTGCAACACGATTAGGTCGAGTTTATGTGTGATGTGGGTCACCTTTAGTTCATAATTGACGCTGTGAATTCTTCGCAGCTCGGTGAGGCCCAGATAAGAAGCGAATTGCGCCGATTTAACAAAGTGGTTGCTAAAAGCATTATTGGATGCGCGGCCAAGTAACGCATCGCGCTACAATGTAAAAAAGCCATTTAGGGCTGTGCTTTGCAAATGTGTAAAATCGACCAGTTTCCTCGAGAAAAATTGCCAAAAATAGGCCAAAAACCTCATGTTTTTTGATATTTTGAACAAATTAACTTTGTTGGCATGTCAATAAAATTTGCATGAACAATGAAGATTTAAATAATTTAAACACAACCGCACATTACATTTATGATGATTACATGTATGATGCACATAATGATGCAATGACATTTAAATTAAGCTTTTATTTTAGGATTTTCTCGGGTAAACATCTTGTATCGCGTCGTATAAACCCCCACGGTTGTTTTTATGATACAGGACGGCTCCAACGTTAATGTGGCTCTATCTATGTGTTGGTTCAGCCGAATTAATTATTATGTTTAATCAAGTTTATTTTTTTCGTTAGTTGTCATCCAGCCAAACATTAAGCAACTTACATTACAGTCTCATTTATCAATTTGTATATCGAAATATGTCATTGTAATTTTGCATGGCTAAAATGTAACGCTTGATTTATATATATATATATATAACGATTAATTGAATTTTCAAAAAAAAGGGGGGGGGAGCCGCGCACTCGTGCGCGGCGGGTCATACAACGTTCACATAGCCAGGTGTATACGCGTACTGCGTGACGCGCTTGTTTCACGCTACTGCAAGCGAGAGGGCTCTGGTTAGAGCAACATACAACGTATGACAATAAAAATCCAAAAAGTGTTTAAAATTTAGGATTTTTTCATTTTTGATATTTAGGTGCTATATTTTGAAATTTTAAAAATAAATATTTTGTAATAAGGACTACTACAAATACATAAAATATAATTCTGACCAAACAATTAATTTTAAATGAAATCAAAATTTTAGGTGCGCCGCGCATATTTTCGAAAATTTAATTCGTAGTATATATGAAAATCGAGCGCTAAAACAAAAACTGTCAATTTTGCAACGCTGCCAGAGTGGCGAATACGTGGGAACCTTATATAAGCTTTTAAATTTACATTGGTTTAAACTTTGCCTGATTATGGATTGGGGATGTTTAGAATTAGAAAATCCGGTCTTAATTTTGTTTCAAGCAACAGTAAAGTAAAAGTTAAACCAATATCAAAAATATCAAGAAGCCTTTTCTCCCGCGGAGTGAGTTTTATTTTAATGGAACAAAATTTCTTCGGACGTCGAGAACTCTGAGACAGATTTAGGCTTTAAAATTAAATTTGAAGAAATTAAGAAAGATATGATTGCTATTTTTGGAATGTTTAAAATGAAGTTTCAGGAAGAATTGAGAGAGCCAGTTATGTCGGTAATAAAGAGAAAAATAATGATAATCTTTGGTTTCATCCTTATGTGGCAAAGAGGCAGTTAATAAATATTTATTCCACCTTTTGAAAAAAATTATTGGTAGCAATGAATTGTGCTCTGCCAATTGCAACACTTAAAATTTTATTGTGCTCTGCCAATTGCATCACTTGATTTAATTGAATGTATATATACTGTTTGTAGGGTGAGAATCCCTGCCACGTTTTTGGTCAGCTTCGCCGGGGCTCATGTCTTTCCTCGAGGGAGCATTAGTGTCTACAGAAAAACTGACAAATCCTAGCGAAGTCCAATCCGAACCACATCTTCCATCAGAGGTGGTGCTGGGTCAGCTGGTTACTGAACGGATTGGCCTGGAGAAAAGCATAGTCCTGTCATTCTAAAGTTAACCATAGAGGGGGTCAGGCGCTGTTCGCTCACGGCTGGTTCTTGGAGCCAACACCCTCGGCCCCACAGAAGTGGGAGCACTGTCGGTGGTGGCACACCCAGATAACGGACAGTGTCTCTCCTTGTTTCTTCTTGGACTTGCATTGTTGCTGGTGAGTCAGCTGGCAACAGTGTACCATACTTTCATATTCATGTTTTCTTCCCCACTTCTCCTACACCTCACTTTATTACTCACTCATTCACTCACATGCCGCCTTAGGGCCGCTACCAGTTAGAGGGGATCTAACAATCAGACAAACTGCCAGCCTTAGGGCCGCTACCAGTTAGAGGGGATCTAACAATCAGACAAACTGCCAGCTATTGGAGATATAGCACTTAGATTATTACCAGCAAACTTAAAATTAGCAATAATTACGTGAACAAAGAAATTGCCAAATTGCGACAAAAAAGGGTCTACTCAAAATTCAAATATCGCATGTAAATTCGTGAATCAGCACTTTAGTACATGACAGCGCGGAAATTATTGAGCCGCGCAAAGACAAATATATAACACAAAAACAACAAAGATATGGGTGAATTCCATCGGAGGCTCAGGCATGCCTGGTAGGTTCCTGTCAGCCCACTAGAATGACAGGGGGCAGCCTGTTCTATCGAGTACCCGGGAGAACATCTAGGCATGGGTGGTGTTCTCCCGTGAACGAGCATTATGACAGTTTCCCTAACGGGAAACGTCGCTCACCAGGCTTTATCCTCTGGAGGGGCGGGATCACTAGCCCATGCCAAGTGACCCAAACCTACTGACACCTACAACCAGAGGAACCCCAATAGACGTTAGTCACTAATGACGGACGTAGCCTCCCAATAGGGAGGTAAAGTGGGTGCCCCAACATTAAAAAAAAAAAAAATATACTGTTTGACACACTTTTCACCAGGAAGTTTTAGTAGAATTTAAAATATGATATTGTATTTAGTAATTTTTTGATAATACTGTATTTGATAAATGATTAATTTTTGTGGGGAAATATTTATTATACATTTTTTTACATAGTGTGATGATATTTACTAGACATGCATTGTATCACGTGGTGACCCCCACGGTCGCTTCACTATAGTAGAGTTTCGATGATACAGGGGCCAGGGGGAGCCGCGCACTTGTGCGCGGCGGGTCATACAACGTATGACAAGACTGGATAAACGTAGAAACTGGAAGATATGGGAGCAGAACTGGAAGTCAACATCACAGAATTTGTGAATTCTGCAGCGAAAAGTCCATGATGGAGCTCTTTGTTAATCTTCCTTGTGTTGATCCGATAATAGAAGATGAAGAACACTTCCTTAGAACATGTCCCAGGTACCATTCCAGTAGGACTAACATGAAGGAGCCCACAAAGTCATTACTATTTCATGACATGAAGAGCCTCTTTCTACCGGAGCACATAGTGGAATTCACCAAGTTCGTCGCTCAGCTGTGCAGAACACGATTCCCTATAAAGAAGAAACACGAACATTAGTGTCTCAGTACGGGATATCACATTTCCTCCACAGCCCCTTCATTTTCACTTTTTCTTTACACTCATCAAACACCTTAATGGTAACGGATTTTCTATTTGGATTTCGGACTTTGACCTTTAGCTTTGCTGATCTGACATTATCTCACTGTAATATAGATCTATTTTTTGTAAACCTTGTAAACCTTGTAAACCTTGTAAACCATATGTGTGATGATGTGATGTCATAATTTTTACTTAACTTTACTTTACAGTGCTTTTCCCTAACTGATCTGGATAAAGTTCGGTGCTATTGTATACTGCCTTTTAACCTACAGATACTAGCATACCTGAAATTTCTATCACCAGATCCTCGCCACTGTGAAGATTTAACTGCACTTTTTACGGCATGTTTTGCAACCACCTATTCAAAATACTACCCAACTGCCCTGCACACTTCCAATCTTCATACAAGACACATATCTCGTGATACAACTTACTTGGCTTGTTTATATTGTAACCAACTAATATTCATTATTTCTTCCAAAAAATCTCTTGTAGGGCATGTACAGTCTTCTGATCTGAGTTGCATTTTCTGTAGTTTCGTATATTATATAGCTGACACAAACATTTACCGATAAATTGCTGTATACACGTTGACTTTATTTATTTTTATTACCACAATCTACTAGTCATTCATGTCACTATAGTTTGAGTAATTTACTTGCCCGTTAAAATCAATACATTTTAAGTCCTGTTGATTCATGATTGATTAAAGAATGCAAAATGTCTATCCCCACAAATGCTCTGGTTTTTGATTGTTCACATATATATATATATATATATACCATATATATATATATACCAGGCAATCATGATTTCCGCTTGGTTCTCATCAGGTCTCTAAGAAAGCCAACAGTGTGCTGATATGCACTGTCATATGTACTTCCTAGAAGCAGCACACGGCCCATTTCGGACTTGCACGAGTTATAATTATTATATATACTATATAGTATGTTTGGAAACACTCCAGCACAAACTAAAGCAGGAAAGATATTAGCAGTTTCCTGGCTGGAGTAATCTTGGATTTCTGGAGCCAGACTTTGATAAATGTCTGAAACAATTTTATGTTTAATGTCAACCTACATACACAAAAGTGACCAATCACTTCTATTATCTTTCTATGGAGCACCACTATGATCTACGTGACCTGGAGAGGCAAGAAATAGGCAGACAAACTTCGTCTTATACTTTCATTCTTATAGAGATCCCACAGTGATACAGATACAGAACGAATTTCATAACTTATCTTCATGGTCATCCATTTATTGAACGCACTACATAAACAAAAATTTCGGTGACAAGGACACACATTTATACAAGATTCTGACATGTGCAAGGGAGTATGATAGCCAAGCACTTGATCACACATTCTTTTAACTAAAGCACTGCAAACCACTTTTCAAGCAACAGAACAGTCTTTAACAGTCTTTAAAATACTCAAACTCAGGTGTTGGACATCACTGCACCAGCATTATGAGTTATCATTAAGATTGTAGAAAGGAAACCAACCTCATTACTCAATTCCCATCTAGAGATTTTATATCAGATAAATTGAAATTTTTGTTTGACTGACATTTTTGTTTGACTGGACAATAAATTTTAGAAAAAAGGGTTGAATCTGTATATTTAATATAGCAGTTATGTTTTAAACATCATTTATTATTTTTATTATTTATCTATTTACTGCAATATATCATGCTACTGATTAATTGATTTAAACTGATTGCTTGATAATTTAAAATTTACCTGCAGGATTCATGAAATGTGGTTGATGGTTGTAAAGCAGTGAAACAAAGATATCACTTTTAAAAGGTATACTATGGTCACAAATCACAATTTCCATTGCTGTGTTGAATATACATTATATAATTACAAATTTTTTTAGCAAGTGTGCCATTTTAAAATACGGATGTATATCAGCATATTATATGTTGATATCACGAATATAGGCTTTGCTCTGTTAAAAATGACTCATAGAATTTCAATGTTCTATTTCAATAATAAATGCCTTAAAAATATGATTTACTAGAAAGCCTTTACCAATGAAATGTATTATTCTGTCCTCAACCTTACTATATAGGTCAATAGGTGTGTACATTCTCATTTACATAAATATGTGATACAACGTAATTAACAGATCATTACTGCTGTTATTAGCTTTCATCAGACTCCTCTGAGAGCGCCTCATACGGCTCAAGGTAGCGCTCGAACATTGAACTAGCGTGAAGATCCAGGTCATCAAGTTGGTCACAAAGCCACAGCTTGAACCCATCTGTTCTTCTGCCGCTCTGGAAGGGCGTGGTTACACTTGAGCAGTTGGTGAGTTGTTCACCATCCTTTACTAGCAGCAAACTGCACTGCTGGTTTAGATTCAGGCAGGTTTGAAAGTCGATTGTTATGGAGTCAGCGTCCTGGAACGCATCTGTCAAGTACCGATACGTGCTGCTGAAAAGGGCTGTGCCACCTTGCCGGGCATCTATGTGATGCCATATCTTATACTTCCTCATTATCTGAATAAAACATGAAATTAAGATCAAGTTGATTTTATGTCAGCTCCTCATATGTGGAGAAATCTTTGTATTTTATAATTGTTTTTTAGATTTACTTCTGTAAGATTAACAAATGAGATTAACAATTTTTAATCTTACCTTTGAAAACTTGTCTATATTATCCACAGTTCCATCCTCAGAGATTTCGAATGTGGAGATGATCATGAAAATGTTATTTTTTTCGATCAAATCCACCAGCTCTCTCGGTGTTATCATATCAAAGTTTACTTTAATCGCATTGTTTGTGCCTATTCCCATCATTAATGCTCCTTCGTCTGTTGATTTACACGCATGTTCAGATGCGATTACCTGAAAAAAGAAAGAAAATTAATTATCAAACTGGAATGTAGGTTGACTCGATGAAACATGCAAATAATACCTTGGCAATATATAAATATTTCATCTTAATTTTCGATGTTTATTCCTGATCGTTAAAAGTATTCAACCATTAGGTAGTTCCCCAAACTAGTTGAAGTACCTGAATAGGATGGTCGAGTCCGGTCTCCTTGACATCAGGGTACATTTGGTATCTAGCACTAATCATACTGATGAGAGTGCAGTAGCTCCCCCCAGGTAGGAACACTCCACTAGCTCCCGGACCGTACCCCACATAACCTGTTATCAGATAGTCATTATAAATAGCCCTGTTATCAGATAGTCATTATAAATAGCCCTGTTATTAAAGCGGTCAATTAACTTCAATATGTTTTGACAGTGCAATCAACAGAATATAGATGATATCTACCTAATATTTTGTGTATCATTTGCTCCTCGGCATAATCCAAGAAAGGGCTGCTATGGTAACCGTGGTTGAGATGTGAGATTATCATGTCTGCTATCAGGGACATCTCCTTGCTTCCTGCCCAGTTTTTAGTGATTTAAATAATTGACATTTACTGTAGGATTGACCAGCAAGGTTAAGGGAGATTAAGCTTTCAACAATTGTTTTTCGTACACTAATTGGGAAATGTAGCTTAGTTTCCTATTTCCTCAACTCTAAATATTACCTTCAATTTCTAGTATGTCACTATCCTCCCCATTCTCCTCTGACGATATGCTATATTTACAGACTGCTCCCACTACAGCTTTAAACCTTTCCACTTCTTCCAGGCTACTGTCGAATGATAACTTCTCTTTAAACTCTTCAAAACTGCACCTTTCTTTTTCCTCTTCGAATGCTTCCAAGAGAACATCAACCTTTGGCCGGAGTGAAGCTGACATGTCCGATTTAAAAATCTATACTACAAGGAAACAACTAAAATGTAGACAACTGAACAAAGCTAGAACAAATGCGACGTAAACGTTAACTTAGTGAAACTTGGATTTATCCGTTGATAAATTTGAACCCATAGACTCCACTTAGGTCGTATGATAAATCGAATTTCGGCATCACAAATAAAATTAGTCGTGTTAAAGCTATAGCTCGTGTTTCTTAGTAATTTTGTTTCCCTCAATTCAAATTCCCACTTGCAGTTGGTTACTTGGTAACCATGGCTGGTTGCTTGGCAACCCTGTCAATGGAATGAGAGGATGCAGGAGGTAACTTAATTATAATCCTATAACTAAATAACTTGAGCCACCCCATATAGTTAATGGTAAGTTCACGGCTGACCCGTTACTTTCTTATTTGCGCTGAGATATGATGTCATATTAATTGTAATCACTTATGTAATTGGCATAGTCTAATACGATAAGCCGACAAATATTACTGTCAAAATTAATCATGATATAAAAGTAATTAATTTACAACATAAAACATCCAATTAGCCTAAATATTTATTCAACCCAATAATTTAAACATTTATCGATAGGTAATCTAGTTTCTCAAAATTGTTATTCCTCACTTAACTGCTTATGAACTGCAATAATTCGCTCTAAAATAAACTTAAAACCATCCTCGTTAATATTATCGTTAACAGCAACAGCTCTAAAGTAATCGGAGTGATACTCAATAAACACGCTCTCCATCCTCAGTGCTGCAGTTATCTCGTGTATCCGCACTTCCTTGTCCGTAACCAGCTTGAAACAGGTGTGTGTCAGGGAATACTCCAGAACACTGATGAACCTGTGATCGTGTGCTATAATGCTCTTGAAGCGTGCATTCCTGTCGTATATCAGCGTTACTTGAGCATCTAGGTCGTCTAACTGATCACAAAACCACAGTTTGAAACCGTCTGCTCTTCTCCCGCATTGGAACGACCTGTAGGACGTGCTGATTAATATTAAGTTTTAGAAGACAGAGCCACCTAGTGACACCTAGTGACACCTAGTGACACATAGTGACACATAGTGACACATAGTGACACCTAGTGACACCTAGTGAGCCTTAACAGTGGTCTTCAGAATGCAAGAGATTACAAAATATGAACTCAAGTTGCTCTAAAGGTCCTATATACCTGTTTGCAATGTCATGTTCACTATCCTCGTGAAAGAGATAAGGAGCTGTAATACGGGACACGTCTCCTAGCAATCCTCCTTCTTTAACTAGTAACAAGCTGCACTGCTGGTTAAGGTTCAAACACTTGTGACAGTCTATAGTTACTGAGTTAGCGTTTTTGAAGGAGGAGGTGAGGTACCGGTACTTGTTGCTGAACAAGGCTACCCCACTTACACATGCGTCTATGTGATGCCAGATGTTGTACTTCTTTAGCACCTGAAGGAAGCAAGTTCAGATGTGGAACTTATCAAGTTCAGATGTGGAACTAATCAAGTTCAGATGTGGAACTAATCAAGTTCAGATGTGGAACTAATCAAGTTCAGATGTGAAACTTATCAAGTTCAGATGTGGAACTAATCAAGTTCAGATGTGGAACTAATCAAGTTCAGATGTGGAACTAATCAAGTTCAGATGTGGAACTTATCAAGTTCAGATGTGGAACTAATCAAGTTCAGATGTTTTTTTAAAATCTAGAGACTTATTTTACTTCGGAGTATTCCAACAGCCATATTGTTACACAAGTGTAACCAGCCAATTACAGGAAGCCGAAGGATTTGTTTTTAGCCAGTGACGGTTAAGGTAGTGTGTACCATACTTTCTTCGCCCGAGACTTTGCTGCAATCAAGTTCAGATGTGGAACTTATCAACTCAGATGTGGAACTTACAACTTCAGATGTGGAACTTATCAAGTTCAGATGTGGAACTTATCAAGTTCAGATGTGGAACTTACCAAGTTCAGATGTGGAACTAATCAAGTTCAGATGTGGAACTTATCAACTTCAGATGTGGAACTTATCAAGTTCAGATGTGGAACTTATCAACTTCAGATGTGGAACTATTCAAGCTCAGATGTGGAACTTATCAAGTTCAGATGTGGAACTTATCAAGTTCAGATGTGGAACTTATCAACTTCAGATGTGGAACTTATCAACTTCAGATGTGGAACTTATCAAGTTCAGATGTGGAACTTATCAAGTTCAGATGTGAAACTTATCAAGTTCAGATGTGAAACTTATTAAGTTCAGATGTGGAACTTATCAAGTTCAGATGTGGAACTTATCAAGTTCAGATGTGAAACTTATCAAGTTCAGATGTGAAACTTATTAAGTTCAGATGTGGAACTTATCAAGTTCAGATGTGGAACTTATCAAGTTCAGATGTGAAACTTATTAAGTTCAGATGTGGAACTTATCAAGTTCAGATGTGGAACTTATCAGCTTCAGATGTGGAACTTATCAAGTTCAGATGTGGAACTAATCAAGTTCAGATGTGGAACTTATCAGCTTCAGATGTGGAACTTATTAAGTTCAGATGTGGAACTTATCAAGTTCAGATGTGGAACTTATCAAGTTCAGATGTGAAACTTATCAAGTTCAGATGTGGAACTAATCAAGTTCAGATGTGGAACTAATCAAGTTCAGATGTGGAACTTATCAAGTTCAGATGTGAAACTTATCAAGTTCAGATGTGAAACTTATCAACTTCAGATGTGGAACTTATCAACTTCAGATGTGGAACTAATCAAGTTCAGACGTGGAACTAATCAAGTTCAGATGTGGAACTAATCAAGTTCAGATGTGGAACTAATCAAGTTCAGATGTGGAACTTATCAAGTTCAGATGTGGAACTAATCAAGTTCAGATGTGGAACTAATCAAGTTCAGATGTGAAACTTATCAAGTTCAGATGTGGAACTAATCAAGTTCAGATGTGGAACTAATCAAGTTCAGATGTGGAACTTGGGTGTTTATTTATTTCAATTTATAACTGACAAACAGTCCTGTTAATCTTGAAGTAACCTAAAAGAATATGCTTTAAAAATATTGTACTCAGATGCCTCTCGATTTCAGAGTAATTTGGCTGTCCAAATGTACCAACTTGGGATATACAATGTAAATGAATATTTAATGTAAAACTAAAACGCTGAAGTAATTTACCGTAGAGAATTTGTCGACAGACTCAATGGTACCCTCACTAGTGGTTCCGAATGTTGAGTTTATCATAAACACGTTGTTGTTAACAACTATTTCCTCGAATTCCTCTGGAGTTGTTTTCTCAAAGTCTATCTTTATAACGTTATCAGTTCCCATACCCATCATAATGGCAGACTTTTCAATCGAATAGTGGGAGTTTATTGAGGTTATCACCTGAATAGTGGGAGTTTACTGAGGTTATCACCTGAATAGTGGGAGTTTACTGAGGTTATCACCTGAATAGTGGGAGTTTATTGAGGTTATCACCTGAATAGTGGGAGTTTACTGAGGTTATCACCTGAATAGTGGGAGTTTACTGAGGTTATCACCTGAATAGTGGGAGTTTACTGAGGTTATCCCTGAATAGTGGGAGTTTACTGAGGTTATCACCTGAATATAAATTATACATATCATGTTAATTCGAGCTTTTCATTTAGAATTAAAACAAATTCTTCATACTATATCTGATTATGGAGCCAGGGTGTGGACTGGCTACAACTGGTTAAAGCACTTTCATCCAAATAAATTAGTTTAAAACTATAAAAAAACACTGTGATAGTTATATAATTTAAGGGTTGTGATAATTGTATTACATGTATACCTGAATAGGGTAGTTCAGACCGGCACGCTTGGAAGCAGGAAACTTGTTATATCTGGCACATATCATACCAATTAGGGTACAATAACTACCTCCTGGTAGAAATAGCCCGCTAGCTCTCTTATCATACCCAACATAGCCTGAGATGGGGTTAAAACGATAAGAAGAAATCTGGACTATATGCATCTAGTAGATACTAATATGACTCCATAGTTCGATATAAAGTTCGATATTGCCACGTTCAATGGCTTCATTGCAAATGTGTTACCTATAGTCTTCTTGATGATTTGTTCCTCTGCGAATGTAAAGAAAGGGCTGCTGCTGTATGTGTGACAGTTCTGATTGAAGTAAGAAACAATCATTTCCGCTAAGAAAGACATGTCAGTGCCACCTGAAACACGTTACAGACATGAAACATTAAACAGCACCTGTAATGTGTAATGTGTAATGTGTAATGTGTAATGTGTAATGTGTAATGTGTAATGTGTAATGTGTATTTTATATTTGGAGCAGGTAGGATATTATGTAGTGTGAAAAATGAGGAGCATACCCCTGCTACGTATCCTATAACATATTCCCTTACCCCCGTACAGTTTAGCTATCCAGTTCTTATCCTTGGTGTCTATTGTATATTTGCAGACAGTATCCACAACAGTTTTAAACCGCTCCTCCTTACTCAGTCCCTCCTCAAATACCACCCTCTCGTTCAACTCCTCAAAACTGCAGTATTTGTGCTCGTTTTGCAGCGCTCTGAACACTATATCAAGCTTCTTTTTCAACGAGTCCGACATTTGCTGATCTGACACATAGGAAATAGTAGTATTGATGGAAGTTATGTAGAAAATACAATGCTTCACGATATACAGTCTTCAATTTAAACAAATAAATAGAATAAAAACGAAACGTTATAATAATAGAAAGATAGAAGCTCTCTGATTATTATGAAACGTTCTATTGTGAAGCAATTCAAACTACAAAGCACAAAACAAAAGAAAGGGTGGCGTGAGAGTCAAACCTCGTGATAATATGGAATATTGGGTCAGGTTACGATAAAAGGTTTCTTCAAAAGCATATGAAAATCATATGACCACCGTCGTCAGTCACGTACATTGAGACACCATTTTATCTTTACTATAAAAAGGCCGGACTTCACTATTATTGCCATGAATTTGTATCAACTTTAATCTTCAAATAGTATCATATTGATTATAATTATATCATCGAAACATTTTAAAGAAATTCTTTCCCTTCAGTATAAGTTACTTAGAATACTTACCTTCCAAGAACCCAGAATCTTATAAAATGTAAGCTAGTTCCTCAATTTAACAACGCTGGTAGAATTGTTGATAAGTTCAACTTCTAGACGATTTCCCGCTTCTTGAAATGTTGCACAAATTTGCTGCGCAGACCGATTTCCAGCCACAATGTACTCAGATATAGGTGTCCAACAACACAAACCGCCACAGTATACAGCAGTATTGATCTGATAAGCTATTAGAGATAACGGAGACAAAAGGCAGCAACTTATTAAACTTGTGTGTAACTAGGCTTAACTTGATTTAGTTTTAAGTTTAATGTCGTGACATGTAAAATGAGTGAGCGGTGACACTTAAATTGTAATGTGGCATATTGTGCGAAAGGGTCTACCGAATAGTTCAATGGAAGGCGCACGATATATTTTGATAGATACGCGCGTTAAAATGCGGCGTTTTGTCCACGTTCGAACGTAATAGCGATAGTGTGGAAATAAGGCTTTTTGTTCACTCTTACGCTCGTATTAAGTCATGTGATTCGACTAGACGCTCACAAGTTTAGCATGAACTGACTGGGGAGGACAAGTTTAACTCTGATCGAAAAGTTTTTAGTTCATGATCATAAGTTTGGAGTTTTTACCCAAAATTGTGACGAAAGGGATAGTAAAATCTGTTTTATCTTTAGCAGTCTTCTGTTTAGGTGGCGTACTTAATCAATCGACTTATGAAATATTTATTGAATGACAAGAGGCAATGCTGCATCTTTCCGTAAAAGCGCCAGATGAATACATAAAAGATATCTTTACCCTTCATTATCAATTTGGTTCTTTAATTTCAGTCGAATGTACATATTGAATGGAATTAACTGAAGGAGAATTAGACAAATTAAAAGCACACAAAGCAGTCAGTACAACCAGTGCAACCAGGGTTGCAAGATAATTTAATAAGTAGTTTCAGTGTAAGATTGTGACAATTAAATTGCAGTTTTGTTCGTATTGGACCATTACCATAGTCAGGTAAATATTGTATCAATGTATTACGAACCTACTCCACAATAGCATGTTAGGAGATGAAGAAGAACACTCTGAACCATTAGAAGAGGTGTTGTTAACAGAGGAGGAGGCTCTGAGAGAAGCTGTTACACTGAGAAGCGAAGAGGCAGGCGTCGAGATTGCTAGGAGCACTCAGGTAACTTTACAATTAACTTGTTACTTTTATTATATCACTTGATAATCTTGTTTAGGCTTAGTTTCACAAGTCACGATAAGTTTTCAATGTTCATAAATCTTTATATTCGCAGGTGTTGTATTTTGACGAAGAATACGGAAAGAATGATGTGAGATTGATAGAACTATCTCCGGAGATGTTGAATATCCTGAAAGAAGAGAAATCTTTCGGTTAGTTTAGTTAATGTGATGATAAAATAGAACTATAGATCTGAGAGAAAGAAACTATAATATTTATGAAGTATGATACTATAATATTCAGTGTTGTTGAATATTTGCAGTTCTGAGAGGAGACGGAGGCGAGGAAGCAGTGCTCTGTACTACCAACAAAACTTACACAGTGCGAGAATGTACCACCTCCAACTCCCTCCTCCTAACTCCAGAACTTGCTGCAGACATAGACACCTCTACTCATACCATCACCCCTAGGAGGGTAGCTAGCTGTAATTTCGTATACTACGAGGTACTTTTATCGGTTATCTGTTCCTCTGTCTTTTACATATCTCTAATCTCTATGATAATATATGTTGACTGTTGATTAAAGATTACTCATTTTATTAATTTCATGATCCCTATTATAAAGCATGCACGCAAAAATTCGACCACCTCGTGCTGTGCGTACAATTCACTAATTCCTCCTCAGTTGAAACTGTGCAGAGCAAAGCTGGATAAGATGAGAGATATTCTTAACAGGTATGTTTGCAAACTCATCTTGTTAATCCCAAAATAACCGTGTCGCTGTTTAATGAGAAACCTATTATGTATATGTATTTGGGGGTATGTAGACATTAGCCTGTGCTAGGTCTCCAATGACGTTATGGTTGACTCTATGAGTATTTGCGGCGTTATGATTGATGAAAACAGACTTTGGGTAGAGATCACGCTATTAAAGTAGTTGACTGTAATAAGAGTTGCAGTTTTAATAATAGATCTAGACTACATCTGTAAGTGGTATCAGATCGGAGAGGAACTATTTATATCAGAGCGTTTTAATAGGACCTCCTCTTAAAACGTTCTCCTATAAATACTTCCTCTCCGATCTTATGATTTATGATTGGCTCTAAAGTTTGAGCCAATCAGCGGAGCGGATGGCTCACTTTGACTATTTCAGGTCGGCTTATAGTGGGGAGGAGAATGAGACTAAAGATAAAGGAGAGAAAGTTACTATTGAGGATTTGTTGAGTAATATACAGGCCTCAGAGCAGGTGACTTTACTAGTTGCTGGATGGTTGAACACAAATATATCCATATCATTAGTTTTAATCTTTCAATTGGGTAACTACCCACAAGGACATACATTTTCATAATTTCCTGTTAACTGGATAAACTGTAATTGGTTAAATACAAATTACATTTGTGCGATTCAGGAACTAAAAGAAGGACTTGACGAGTTAGGAGCGATAGAGATGAACGGCTACTGGAGAGTAGTGGAGCACGAGTACAAGACTTCAGCTGTATCAAGGTTACTAATTAGCTAGCTCAGTTAACCAGGCTCGACTCCAATACTCGCCCCCCCCCCCCCTCTGACACCATACCAACCAATAGGAACGTGTTCAAATGATATGAATATCTACTTAAGTAGAAATTAGGGAAATTATTTGCCCTTGTAGCTCTCTTTCTCTGTATTCTGTGTAAAATTATCTTTATCCCGGTTACTGCGACAAGTAAAAAATGCTCTTATTAGGGAAAGGAGTTTACTCGACGTTTCAATGTAACTACATCGTATTCATGATCTCAAATTATTTGTTATATAGTAGTGTTGAAAGTATTAAAAGGAAAGGGTAGAACCCGTCCTATAAATCTAGAAGACAGCCTAGTAACACAAGCCATGTCCCCAGGATCCTCACCCTGCTAGAAGAGATGAACTGGTCGTGGGAGAAAGTGCCTCTCATACAATCCTGTCACACTCTAGCAGACTTACAGCCTAGATTCGTTACTGAACTCTGCCTCCGTCTCTATGGTAACCAGGTTTGTGTTGCTGCATTATTCCAGGTTTATGTAGAATTGAGAGTGAACAGCTCAGAGCATGTTACAGTATGTTACAGCAGGTTACAGCAGGTTACAGCAGGTTACAGCAGGTTACAGCATGTTACAGCAGGTTACAGCAGGTTACAGCATGTTACAGCAGGTTACAGCAGGTTACAGCAGGTTAGTGGCGAGAGGCTCGTTTAAACTGCTTCAACGCTTCATCGCAAGCACAGTCCTTAGTAGGTATAATGATATACCCTTACTTTTACAAGTCATGCACAACATTCACCCTACAATCATTTCCTCAGCATATACAGAGAACCTCAATAAACATGAATATCATTATTATTGTTCCCTCTGCACAGGTATCCGAGACGGAGGATGAGGTGCTGATAAAGTTGTGCGAGGATAAGATCTGTAGGTTCTACGGACAGTATATCCTCTCCAGCTCGGCGGGCAAGTTCAATCTAACTGAGGTACATTACTGCCGTCCAAATGACGTTCTTATAAACACTTATAAACACTTATAAACATCACATTTGCTATCAACCACTGCTTCTATATTACACTATCTACTATGATACTGCTCTTACTGACTAAATATCTCATTTACTGTGGCACTAATATCGGCTGTGGCACTGATGTCATTGCTACAGGTGACAATATGTCTACGAGAAATAACTGTTTGTGCTTCTGGTTCAAAAATCATGTGCTCTGTCCTAGATTAGCATCTAGAATATTCTCCTGACCAAATGTAAATGTCTAGACCAAAATAAACCTGACATCTCCTAATCTACTCACCCTCAGTTTGTGGAAGTATGGCAGGACTCCCTCCCGGATGGTATGACTGCAGACATGACTTATTTAAGAGGACTGGCTCTGGTTAACAAGTCCTCCACACCCCACACTATCTCTTACTTAGCTGGTAAGTTATTGGAGCATTACAAATGTACACGTGATCTGATAACAACAGACGATATGAGCTGATCGGATAACAATTATTTATTTTCAGTGTCGGATCTGCCAATAGAACCAGCTAGAAGGTTCGCGTACCTGTTCAGTAGGCAAGAGAAGTGGTCACATGACGATGTTATACCTTACCTAGAGGTACGTGATTAAATTACAATTTAATAAGTTAATTAGTTTTATATTTCTTAGAAAAATATATTGGGATACCTTACAAATCAGGTCAGTTGGCACGTATAGTGGTCACGTATAGTGGTCACGTATAGTGGTCACGTATAGTGGTCACGTATAGTGGTCACGTATAGTGGTCACGTATAGTGGTCACGTATAGAATCCACTTCCAGCGGAAGTTGATTCATGCTTGGTGTTCAAATTAATGATGTTTCATTGCAACTGGAAGGTTAGTTACGCACCGAATAACACACTAACTTGTAACCCTCAGGATCTGATAGGACCTGGCCAGACTGTGACTGCTTTGTTACTGAAACACTGTCGGAGCACTACAGATCACAAAACTAAGCTCAAGGTCTACAACTCCAAAACAAGGAGCTAGCTGTTTACAAGAGGAATGTGTAACTTTACATTCTACAATTCTCTTTGCTTTATCAGATTATTGGTTTATCGCCAATTTCAACCAAGTCACCAGCACGGCAGTACAATGAATGAGCAGTGAAATCTTGTTCTGAATACATTTTAACGTATTCTCGCGAGTCAGAAAGATGATTTTGATATTTTTAAATATTTTATTTGTTATTTTACCATTTTAATACATTTAATACGTATGGTTTTAAATTCATTTGCTACATTTTTCGAAGTATTTGATCATTTTTATGGAACTCATAAAACAGAACGTACTTAAAGTTATCATATCTATGAATTTATGCATGGAACGTGCGTCATGCAGCCACTATCGTGTTTTATAATATTACTTCGCTGTATGAAAGAATTTCAACAATTTCTTTGAATGTCGGAATATAAAAATTCGAATTCAAGACTTCGTGGTCGACCTTTATGTTAATGAACCCGACAACATGTGAAATGGTGACACATGATAGGAGACACGTGATACACGTGACACGTGATAGGAGACACGTGATACACGTGACACGTGATAAGAGGCTGTGTTACCCGCTTATGGGAGAGGTCGATGGTACTGGTAGTTAAATACTGCTCCACATATAGGGTCACCAGTTTAGTGACCAGTTAAGTGACCAGTTTAGTGACCAGTTTAGTGACCAGTTAAATGACCAGTTAGGTGACCAGTTTAGTGACCAGTTTAGTGACCAGTTAAGTGACCAGTTAGGTTACCAGTTTAGTGACCAGTTTAGTGACCAGTTTAGTCACCCGTTTAGTGACCAGTTTAGTGACCAGTTAGGTGACCAGTTTGGTGACCTGTTTGGTGACCAGTTTAGTGACTAGTTAAGTGACCAGTTTAGTGACCAGTTAGGTGACCAGTTTAGTGACCAGTTAAGTGACCAGTTTAGTGAACAGTTTAGTCACCAGTTTAGTGGCTTTGACTGACATTCTGAAGCTAAATATTCAGACGGAGTATTTAATATCCGACCTCCACGAACCGGGAGATTATCACGTGATCTCCGACCTCCACGAAGCAACTTACTGGACATCGGGGACAATCACAAAGTTGCTCTATTTTAATTGCTTTTAAATAGCTTGGAAAATGGAGTCCGGGCTTCAGGTTCTGTCTGGGAGACAGCAAGCAAAATGCTTTCTCTGATTGAGATTACCGTTACCATGGTTACAATACATAACTCTTATATCTTATAATCTTCACGAATGAATGATATTGAAACGAATCAATTAATATGAATACTCACGCATATCACCTGAAATAACTAATTACTTGAATAGATCATGTCTAAGCTGCAAGAAACTGTAGATATCTACAAGAAGCTGAAGGCTGAATGGAGTAAGAGACCTTGTGATCTGAACAAATGTGGAGGTTATCTCTCAACCCTCAAGGTTAGTTCTTATCTTTAGTTCTTATCTTCAATTTAAATATTTAAATATTATTTGTATATAACTTTATTTTTAAATTGGTCATTAGAACTACCGGCACCGTCCGGACAACAAACAAACATGCAGTTGTAATGTGCGCTGTACGGCTGTATTTCTCTATCTACAGTTGTTTCTAATCTGCCCACTAACTAGCTGCACTCTACAGGTGTCTCTAACCCAGCTCTCCTTCCTCCCTACCTCCAACACGTCAGCATCAACCCCTGAACTTATCCTGGCTAGAGACATACTGGAGTTAGGAGCTCAGTGGAGCATACTCAAGAAGGACATTCCTTCCTTTGAGAGGTACCGTCATGTTTTATTGTATCTTTATTGTATGTTTAAGTTATGACAATACTGCGGACTGCTTACCTTAGATTAATTTATCTTTAATTTCAACAATAACAAATGTTATTTTCACCTTTAATCAAATTCATTGCAAAAGGACTCCTCTGTAGACATATTGTATTATTATAATGAAAACAAGTCCTTCATATTATGGAGCCAGGGTGTAACCTGTTATATTTTGATCACGTGACAATTTCCCAGGTACATGGCACAGCTGAAATGCTACTACTTCGACTTTTCCGGCAGTTTAGCAGAATCCCCGTTTACCTACCAACTGTTGGGACTGAACCTGCTCTGGTGGGTCCCTTATCTGCACTTATCCTCCCCTCAATCCTTATCTAACGAGCAATATATGAGATTATCTTCGCAAAGTTATTCTCAACAGAATGTTGTAAACACTTTCTGTGAGAAACGCATAATTATCATAATCATGTAATTTCAAATCTAATCAAGTAATTTGCCCTATTTGCCAGTTTGCTGTCCCAAAACAGAGTGGCCGAGTTCCACACTGAACTAGAGCTGCTTCCTCCTAAAGAGATTCACAACAACATTTATATAAAGCACCCTATTGCTTTGGAGCAGGTTAGAAATCCTACAAACAATCCTATTTTAGGTTCTGTGTGTTTTTCTAGAACTGACATGGAACTGAATCTATGTGACTTGGTTTTATTTTAGATAATAAAAATTGAAGATGCTACCCAGAGCATGACTTGCTACATATTTTGATTTGGAGAGACCTGAGAGACCCTCTCGGTTATAAATAAAATACCGTGATCCTATATCTTGACATGAATAGCTAAAGCGTTGAAAGCTTGATGAAATTGAGCCATGATCAGACTGAAACGGCTAATTTTATCACATAATGTTGTGTGGTTAGATGCGAATGTGGTTGACCCCTGAATAGTTATTCAATACTCATAGTTACTGGGCTAACTTCCAATATAACATTCTGAAGGGATTACATTCCGTTATAGTGTCTAGTCAAATAAAGCCTGGCTAGACTCGGCAGAATTTACAAATTTGAAGCCTGGATTATTACACTGAACAGTGAACATCCATAACATAAGATATCGTATATTCTATCGACAGGCACCACGTCAATGCTTCTTGAAAATCTATTTTTAGTGTTTTGATAAAAATTCGATAAAATTCTAATTTATTCGAAACGTTTTTATCAAATACTTGATTAAATTTAGATTGAATCAAACTGTCCCCGAATATTTATGAAATGCGATAAACCCTCCATATAAACCCTCCACCCCAGCCACCATATAAAAGCACTTGTTCCCCTCAGTACCTGATGGAAGGAAGCTACAACAAGGTGTTCCTAGCCCGGTTCAACGTTCCAGCAGAGTCCTATCTCTTCTTTATAGACATCCTTCTGGACACCATCCGAGAACAGATCGCCTCCTGTATCTCTGCTAGCTACAACTCCGTGACAGTGGCTGAGGCGACCAAGCTGCTGTTCTGTGATAACCAGAGCAAGACGAAGCAGTTTGCAGATAAGCAGGGCTGGGAGGGGGATGGGAAAGTGTACAGGTGGGTGGCTGGTTCATTGCTACACAGTGGGTAGTAGCAGGGCTGGGAGGGGGATGGGAAAGTGTACAGGTGGGTGACTGGTTCATTGCTACACAGTGGGTAGTAGCAGGGCTGGGAGGGGGATGGGAAAGTGTACAGGTGGGTGACTGGTTTATTGCTACTCAGTGGGTAGTCACTAGTAGTGGTAGTACTGCACTGACCACTAGCTGTATATCTCCTTGACTCTACCTTTTTAACAAGCGAATTAATATGCCTATCGATTTATACAATATTACTATTATACTATACAAGGTGACCGTGATTTACTGCAGGGATCAACCCTATGAGAACATATTTCTCTGCTGAGTTCTGTAAAATGGGCGGACAGCTTTCCTAATCACATATTATGTAGTTACTTCAAAGCCTTGTCAATAATTCAATTTTCGGTGCCTTTTATTGGTAAGTTTGACGTATTAAAGCGTGTATTTGAGAGCTGTACAAAGTAGATGTGCCCTATCAGAGGGTTAGTGAGTATATATCTCAACTCTCAATCTATTTCAGGTTCTCCAAGACAGATAAAGGTGATGATAGATGTGTGCCTATTACCACGGTTACACAACATCTCCTGGAGTACGCTAAGGAGCTGGAGATGATTGTTTAAATAACCAGAACTAATAATTAACTCCTGGATTTGATGGTTATAATCTAGAAATAGCAAAGGAAATGTTTTCTAATGTATCATTACTCCGTGAGAGAGTGAACATTTTATAGTTCTTTGAGTTTGTCCTCAAACTTCTGTGCCTGGAGCATCTTTGAAAATGTAGGTTCTGCGCAACTGATATTTGTATTTGTTGGAATTTCATAAAGTTATCAAATCTAGCATATTGGTGACATGTTTAACGATAAGTTTTATCCCAATTAATCGGGTTAAGCCTATTCAATAGATCAACTTATTTAGTTGTGTTTATTCATTTTATGGTTTAACTGTTTCCATTCCATCAACAATATGTTGCGGCTAAATAAGCACGAAATTTCTCATTACAATACAAACTTTCAATTTCTATTTATAGATTGATTTCATTTGTTCAACAATTTGTTCAATAAATGAAGTTATATCTCATCTAATAACCTCCCTTCTAGGTCACATGACATAACTTTGATAAGTCACGTGGTCCCTGATTGAGACTACCGTTACTAGTGTTACTGATCCAGATACCTGCAGATCAACACAAGATGTATTAGCAAGTATCTCATTACTTTCTGCAATATCTTGATCCCGTAACTTTTATTTCATTGGCCCCAGCAACCAGTAACCCCCTTTAATAATTTATCACATGTTATCTGTCAACGTAGCGTTTAAAGTGGTTAGGTAATCTGTTTTAAGATTGGCTAGATGTTGCATGTATCTTATTGGTGACTAGAATGATAATATCTTGATGTTATGATCTCATGGATTAGTTTTAGAAGTTACTTGATCGCCGTCTTCAAGTCTGCCCACCAAGTTTTAACGGTAATTTTTATAAATTAAGCCATGCTGATTATATGTAGAGAAACCACTCGTAAAACCACTGTTATCATATAATGTAAAAGTGTGTTATATCCAGAGTTTCAACCACAGCTACAGTAGTTGTGTTATATCTCAGTTTTATCTGGATTAATGAACCACGTAAACAGTGTCCTCATAACATCACAACAACATTACCTCATGACAATAAAGCCGACTGTAGAGGGGAGCGTTCTGGCACTGCCCTAGCTATGTGCAGTATGTGTGATGCCAAAATAACTCCGGGAAGCTGTAGTAATGAGTCCCGACCTACGGCAGTGTTCATTACGCACAGTAACACTACAGCAGAGCTACGGCAGTGTTCATTACACTACAGTACGTAAGAGACCGGACAATGGACCACTACGTAACGGGAGATTACCTCACTATGAGTCACGTGGCAGGACTGTGTGTGTGTGTCTGTGTGAGGTCACACACTGTAACTACTCTGTTCTGCATTTTATCTGCATATTTTCTGCATATTATCTGCATATTATCTGCATATTATCTGCATATTATCTACATATTTACATCACGAACAGTTATTCTCCATTTTCACGCGCTACTACTCACAATGCAACGGTGTTGCGAGGTTAACGGGAAATAGTAACTGTTCAGTGAGCTAGAATATATAACACTGGATTTGTGGGCGCTAATCCCCTAACACCAGATTAATTGACTGAGAATATTTGCCAGTCCTGCCAGTCAGTCTCCAATTAGGGCCGACGTGCTGTCTAACAGGACTGATTCTGTGCTGTCTCCACCGTTTTCGAGCAGTGTTACCTGGTGTTACCTGGCTATTTGGGGGGAATTGTCAACTGGTGCCGTGCCAGTCATGTACCGTCTACTGTCAACTGGTGCCAGTCATGTACCGTCTACTGTCAACTGGTGCCAGTCATGTACCGTCTACTGTCAACTGGTGCCAGTCATGTACCGTCTACTGTCAACTGGTACCAGTCATGTACCGTCTACTGTCAACTGGTACCAGTCATGTACCGTCTACTGTCAACTGGTACCAGTCATGTGCTGTGTACTGTCTAGAACACTGTCTGATATCTCCCAGCTCCTATCATGTACTCTGGAGTACCTGATCATTGTACTCCATTGTGCTTGATTTAGTACAATATTGTACGTGACCACTTATTCTAAATCTAATGTAAAGGGTATGTTAAAAGCTGAAAACAGGAGAGCTAGAAGAAACTTTTAAAACTTGTCTGGCACTTCATTGGAGCTTATATTTACTCAACTTAATGGTTACAAATATTATCTAACGACAAGTCACAAGACTTGTTCTTCTCTAATCTTTATATCAATCTTAGACGGAGTACCTCCAATCTCCTTTAAGACATGACCATATTTCTATGTTGGCTAATATCAATAACACTCTTGTTGTGTCAGAGTGACTTTACGAGCCTGATAAGTGAGCAGGATTAGTGATAAGGTAATCACCATGTTAGCAGCCTCCTAGACAGTTATTCCTGTAATTACTAGTGTTACTTCCACTCTCCTTCCTCTAATTACGGGCACTAATTACGGGGAATGTTCTGGAGTCTCTTTAATCAGAAGTTAACTCAGTTTACCACTTATCTTGATACATGAAATTACATGACCCTTAGTAACAGACCAGCTAAGTTGGAATACCCAGATCAGTGACATTCGCGCGTTACAGTTAAACCCAGATAAAATATGAGAATATTCGGACATCACCTGGGACACACCTTGTCACACAGCAGCCTCTTCAGTAATAAGCTGTAGACTACACACTCCTTGTCTTTTGTCTGGTCAGTAGCCGACCGTAGTGTCTGCGCTCGTTACTATGGTCACGTGATCAATCACCATGGCAACTATTGGTCCTGTCTCTGTTGAGACCTGGTGATTGTGAGATATCCTCATTTCGCGTGTGTCGACATGTGTGGGGGCTAGAGTGGGTTTAAAAGGAGTGTAGATGGTGGAGTGTAGAGGAGTTTAAAAGAAGTTTAAAAGGGCATCAGGTCACCTGTTCCTCTTCTGCCGACTAACGTGCCATCTTCAACTTCATGGACATAGTTGAAATGGTTTCAAAACTGAATTTGGTGATTATTGATGATGGGTTAATTAATGGCGGATACTTGTAAGGGTTCCACTGGACCTCATCCAAGTGGAATATTGAGAGAATAATCCCCCAATAAGTGGAATATTGAGAGAATACTACCCCAAGGGCTTGATTAATCCCTTTAATAGGCGAACATATCCAAATAAGTCCACTTTTAATAAGAGCAGTAATAAGAGCATGTGTAGCCGTAGAGCACGTGTTATTTCTCCCAGTGAGGTAGGTAGTTTAGGGTACAACACCTACACAGTACTCGTATGGTTTGATTCTAATTTTAGGGATGTAGCTGAAACCCTGGGCATGTATACTGTCGATTGACCGAAAGTCTAAGATTTTAGATTCTACAGATTCAAACATAACTCTTGGTATTCTGCAGAATTTGGTATTGCTGAGTATTGCTCTAGAACTGACAGGTTTTAGTTAACAGTTGGTAGAGCAGACTTTCAAAAAGGACTCGTGACAGAGCGGATATAAGAGGAGTAGGCAGCTACAGCTACAGGCCTCCGAACATGTGACCAGTGTTGCTCAGAGTAGGCAGCTACAGCTACATGCCTCCAAACATGTATCCAGTGTTGCTCAGAGTAGGCAGCTACAGCTACATGCCTCCAAACATGTATTCAGTGTTGCTCAGAGTAGGCAGCTACAGCTACAGGCCTCCAAACATGTATCCAATGTTGCTCAGAGTAGGCAGCTACAGCTACAGGCCTCCAAACATGTATCCAGTGTTGCTCAGAGTAGGCAGCTACAGCTACATGCCTCCAAACATGTATCCAGTGTTGCTCAGAGTAGGCAGCTACAGCTACAGGCCTCCAAACATGTATCCAGTGTTGCTCAGAGTAGGCAGCTACAGCTACATGCCTCCAAACATGTATCCAGTGTTGCTCAGAGTAGGCAGCTACAGCTACAGGCCCTCCAAACATGTATCCAGTGTTGCTCAGAGTAGGCAGCTACAGCTACAGGCCTCCAAACATGTATCCAGTGTTGCTCAGAGTAGGCAGTCTACAGCTACATGCCTCCAAACATGTATCCAGTGTTGCTCAGAGTAGGCAGCTACAGCTACATGCCTCCAAACATGTATCAGTGTTGCTCAGAGTAGGAAGCTACAGCTACATGCCTCCAAACATGTATCCAGTGTTGCTCAGAGTAGAAAGCTACAGCTACATGCCTCCAAACATGTATCCAGTGTTCTCAGAGTAGGCAGCTACAGCTACATGCCCTCCAAACATGTATCAGTGTTGCTCAGAGTAGGCAGCTACAGCTACATGCCTCCAAACATGTATCCAGTGTTGCTCAGAGTAGGCAGCTACAGCTACAGGCCTCCAAACATGTATCCAGTGTTGCTCAGAGTAGGCAGCTACAGCTTCATGCCTCCAAACATGTATCCAGTGTTGCTCAGAGTAGGCAGCTACAGCTACAGGCCTCCAAACATGTATCCAGTGTTGCTCAGAGTAGGCAGATACAGCTACAGGCCTCCAAACATGTATCCATTGTTGCTCAGAGTAGGCAGCTACAGCTACAGGCCTCCAAACATGTATCCAGTGTTGCTCAGAGTAGGCAGCTACAGCTACATGCCTCCAAACATGTATCCAGTGTTGCTCAGAGTAGGCAGCTACAGCTACAGGCCTCCAAACATGTATCCAGTGTTGCTCAGAGTAGGCAGATACAGCTACATGCCTCCAAACATGTATCCAGTGTTGCTCAGAGTAGGCAGCTACAGCTACATGCCTCCAAACATGTATTCAGTGTTGCTCAGAGTAGGAAGCTACAGCTACATGCCTCCAAACATGTATCCATTGTTGCTCAGAGTAGGCAGCTACAGCTACAGGCCTCCAAACATGTATCCAGTGTTGCTCAGAGCTTTTATTAGATCACGAAATTCCAACTCTGGCCGAGCTTGACGAGTACTTCGAGAAACTTATCAAACATTACTGTTAGTGTTACAATCTGGCATATTGAAATAGCAACATTAAGTTTATTTTTATTTTCAGAAGTGATCAGGTCCTTACATTTCTTAACTTAATTGATTTGATGCAGCCAATTTGGCAGCCAATATAATTTTCTATCGTGTAAAATCGATGCCAATTCTCTCCGTTTCTTACACTCCGTGACCCGTGTTAACCACGACACTGATTAGACTGTGTTATATCAATATTTGGAGCTGCAACAAAACTAATAGTACATCAGAGCGATTAAGAACATCCTACAGCTCCCTACAGCTGAGAAATCGCTGGGCACTCGATGTTTTGGAATTTACATAATACATAATAATAGGGGTCCTTGATCCCCCAATATAGTATAATACTCACCTTGTGCAGTGTTAAATAATCTCCTTATCTTAT